ATTTCCAGAACTATATTGAATAGCAGTGGTGAGAGTGGGTGTCCCTGTCTGGTACCAGATCTCAGTGGAAATGCTTCCAACTTTTCCGCATTCAATAGGATGTTGGCTGTGGGTTTTTCATAGATTGCTTTGATTGTATTGAGGAATGTTCCTTCCATACCCAGTTTGCTTAGGGTTTTCATCATGAACGGGTGTTGTAGTTTATCGAATGCTTTCTCTGCATCTATTGAGATAATCATATGGATTTTTCTTCTGCAGTCTGTTAATGTGGTGTATCACATTGATTGATTTGCGAATGTTGAACCATCCCTGCATACCAGGGATAAATCCCACTTGGTCTGGGTGGATGATCTTTCTGATGTGTTGTTGCATTCTATTGGCCAGAATTCTATTGAGGATTTTTGCATCTATGTTCATCAGGGATATTGGTCTGTAATTTCCCTTCAATGCTGCGTCTTTCTCCGGCTTAGGAATTAAGATGATGGTGGCTTCATAGAAAGAGTTTGGGAGGATTCCCTCTTTTTCGATTGTTCTGAATAGTTTGAGAAGAATTGGAGTTAGTTCTTCTTTAAATATCTGGTAGAATTCATCAGTGAATCCATCTGGTCCTGGGCTTTTCTTTGTTGGGAGGGCCTTTATTACTGTTTCAATTTCTGACTCAGTTATGGGTCTGTTTAGGTTTTCTTTGTCTTCCTGCTTCAATTCAGGTAGGTTGTATGTGTCCAAGAATCTATCCATTTCTGGTAGATTTCCCTGTTTGCTGGCATACAAGTCCTTGCAGCAATTTCTAATGATTCTTTTTATTTCTGTGGTGTCCGTTGCTACGTTTCCTTTTTCATCTCTGATTTTATTGATTTGGGTCTTTTCTTCTTTTAGTTAGTTGGGCCAATGGCGTGTCAATTTTGTTTATTTTTTCAAAAAACCATCTCCTCGTTTGGCTGATTTTTTGTAATGTTTTTTTGGATTCAATCCTATTGATTTCTTCTCTGATTTTGATTGTTTCACTTCTCCTACTAGATTTGGGTCTGCTTTTCTGCAGTTTTTCTAGATCCTTGAGATGCATTGAAAGCTCATTTATTTGGTGCCTTGCCAATTTCTTGATGTAGGCACCTATTGCTATAAATTTTCCTCTTAACACTGCTTTTGCTGTACCCCATAAGTTTTTTTTTTTTTTTGATAGGCGGAGTGGACAGTGAGAGAGAGAGACAGAGAGAAAGGTCTTCCTTTTGCCATTGGTTCACCCTCCAATGGCCGCCGCAGCTGGTGCACTGATCTGATGGCAGGAGCCAGGTACTTCTCCTGGTCTCCCATGGGGTGCAGGGCCCATGCACTTGGGCCATCTTCCACTGCACTCCCGGGCCACAGCAGAGAGCTGGCCTGGAAGAGGGGCAACCGGGACAGAAACCGGCACCCCACCCGGGACTAGAACCCAGTGTGCCGGTGCTGCAAGGCGGAGGATTAGCCTATTGAGCTGCGGCGCCGGCCCTCACTAGTTTTTTTTAAAGAATGCTGACCTGCACACACTGCTGTGGCTTGCATGCTTGTCCTTGTGTGGGGCAGTGTAACCAGGGCTCTGTGCAGTCCCCCTGTGCTGGGGATGCTGAGGCCTCATGGGTTTCTGTCTCACTCCCCGCCACTCTGGTCCACTACACTCTGCAAGTACTAAGGCTGCTGTCCCATGATGAGCAATATAACCAGCCTCATCCTCAGGCTGGAGCCCACGGGTGGTCAGGGAGGCTGAGCTGCCTGACCTGGTGGCAGAGTCTCTCTGGGACCCTCATGAGGGTCAGGAGCCTGGGCATCCAGCCTGGGTGCTGCTGCAGCCAAGATGCTCCATCATTGCCAACATTGTTGCCATCTCCGGTACAGTCTCTCCTGAGCGCCTGGACATGGAGGCTGGTTGATTCAGCTGTGCCTGGACCCCAGAGACTATCAGAGGGGTGGAGAGGAGGGTGAGAACAGGGCCAGGTTTTACTGATCCAGCCTCTGGGGCCTGGAGGAGAGCTGGGTTTGGACCTCCTGTCTCCAAGGTAAGGCCCACACTCACGTGTACAGTGAGTGCAGACGGGGAGGAGGGGCGGGATCCAGGCTATGGCGCCGGCTCAGCCTGTGCTCCCGATAAAAGCTCTCCTTTGAAAACAGAGCTTCCTGAAGTCTCTGTTTTGTATCTCCCCCAAACTTCATGGAGGTGTGGTTGCCACTGCATTCAAATGAGATGTTGTTCTCTGTTGGTTCCTGGGTCTCCCTGCCCTGGGTACTGGCAGGTCAGAAGGAGAAAGAGAGGAGGAGATGAGCTGGCCCTGCAGTGGGTGCAGGGTACCTCTGGCCAGTGCAGGGTCTTAGTCCACCCGAACGAGGATGGACTGGGTCTGAAGAAAGGTAAGTGCGCCGCTCGCCCATTCCCCAGCCCCCCGATCCCGGGGACAGTCAGACACAGTGGGGAGTCAAGTCAAGTAAGCAAGAACTCATTTATTGCATGCATAGCAATGCCTTTTAAAGCACAAGACCGCAGGATTACTGGGGCAGGGCATAAGGACCAACCAATTACTTAAAAGGTCATTTTACAGGGCGACTTTTTATAGGACCAGCCATATGTCTGTACACTCGTCATCAGTTGTCATCACCTCCCCTGATGTTGCATGGCCAATCAGCTTTGGTGGTAAATGACTTTGGATACCGCCCACCTTACTTCCTTTGGGTGCCGTCTTTGAATTGCCTCGTGTGCCTAATTTCCCCACAGATTCCCCCTTTTTTGTTGTATATTAAAAAGAAAGAGGAACTGAGTGGAGAGTGTGCCTGTCTTAGGTTGTCCCCTCTGACTGGGATCAGCCCTTTAGGGAGCATGTCTGTCTTAGGTTGTCCCCTTCTGGGGATCTTACCCGTCTTTGACTACTACTCCAGCTGTTAAGGGCTGCCCCAGGGGATCTTATCCATCATTGGCTACCACCTCAGCAACTCAGGGTATTATGTATTATGCTTCTACATCTTGGCAGTGGCCATGGGCGGATGCACAGGGTTTCCAATCTGGCACTTGAAGAGCAGAATAGCCCAGTTCTTAAAGAGTGGCATATTGTTGTCAGACCACCATTAACTGGACCGCAGCAATGCGATCTTAGACATATTTACAAGGAAGACCAAGGGGCCCACAAGGGGGAGGAGATAAGGAAGCCATCCCCCAAGGCCCAACAACACGTAACTAGAGCTTGGTTCATTACAACATTTTTCAAGGTCTCCTTGGAGGGTCTTGATCTTGTCCTGGATGATGCTGGACCGATTAGCATAAAAGCAGCACCCCTGATGTACCATGATGATCCAGTCACAATGAGGCAGAGAGTTCAATATGGTCTTTTTATCCCTGTAAGAGAAAGGAAAAAATCACTCCTCAGGAGGGGGTCCTCCAGGGTGACATTCTTTGGCAAAAGGGGGGATATTTAAGGTTTCTCACAGGTACCCGTCCAAATCCTCTACCAGCCCTTACCAGTGGGTCTGGTCCTTGCCAGCATCCCTTTAGTGGGTTTTTCCATTTTACCCTAACTGAAAGGTAGGGTACTTGGAGGGACCAATGTTTGTAAAAGGCTGACAAGGGCTGATATTTTGGAAAATTTAAAATATTTAAGGTGAGCATGGCCATTCATAGCTGCTCTTGTGGGGGTGTGATTCCCCCTTTTTGTTTTATAAGTCGGTATTTTGTTTTTTGATGATTGTCCTTGTGGGTTGTGAGGAATTTTAGTAGAGTGTTGAATTATTTTACATCTTGGCAGCACTTTTAATTTAAACATTCCGATTGGTTATTATCTCTGCAAGATGAGAGATATATCTTTTGACATCTCTGGGGGCCCTTCTGGAGATACCAAAAGTTTAGAGAATTTAGAACTCTGATTTTTTAGAAAGTCTGTTAAAGGTGCCGAGAGAACTTAGAGTATTTGGTTAGAAGAGAATTTCTTAACATTTTGAAATGACAGTCATTTAATTAGGGTGATTTTAACACTTTTAGACCAGATTTAATTATAATGATATTTAACATAGCTTTTTAAGACTTAATGTTTTTTTTCAATCTAAACTTAACAGAGACAGTAGAGTACACAATAGATTACCTTGGCAGAACATGAATTTGAGGTCTCTTGTTGTCGAATAAACCAGAAATAAAAACCTTGAACATAAGAGTTAGCACACAAAATCATCACATAACTCAGAACTGTTTAACAGAGTCAAAAAGAGCTTACAGGACCTAACTCTAGAAATGGCAGAGTAACCAATTAAGCAGACACTGTTAAAAAGAGACGTTACAGTTTTTGCAAAAACAGATCTGTAAAAGAAACAAGTTTAAAGCATATTAAAGACATGTAAAACTGAACAAGCGAACCAAGTAAACCGAAGGGTGTTTGCATTAACCCAATTTTCTGAAGCAATCTGTATTGGCTTACTTGAATTAACAACATAATACACTTTGCACAATTTGAATTGACTCAAACAGTTGTTACTTTAACAAATTTAGAGTCTCATCCTTTGAGATGGCCATTGGGCCATTTGGGGAGTGAACCGGCAAGTGGAAGATCAATCTCTCTCTCCCTCTCCTTTTCTCTGTCTGTAACTCCACCTTTCAAATAAGTAAATCTTTAAACTAATTTTTAGAAAAAGATTTTAATATCTCTGGATTTTTATTTTTAGTGATAAAGTAAGAATCTCACTTAATTTTTATTAGAATTTTTAGGTCACCATATTCTTGGGGTTTTTTGTTATTTTTTATTTACTTATCTATCTATCTATTTAAAAATGAGAGAGGGAGGGAGAGAGAGAGGTCTTGCATCCGCTGGTTCACTCCCCAAATGGCCACAATGAGTGGGGCTGGGCCAGGAGGAGCTGTCCCAGAGCTGTTTTCTTAGCTCCCACTGGTGACTTGGAAATGCCCAAATATTCCCCTGCGATGGAAGCAGGTGCCTTCCGTCAAATTACTTCCCACTTCTCTGACTGTCTCAGTCCCTTGCCAAGTCACGATTCAGTCACTGAACCTCGGAGTTGTGTTTGTGGGCAATGTGAACCTTCTGATCTAGAATCCCCAGGGACTGGGGAGGACGACTCAGCTGTGCTCCAGGGAGCACGAAGCTGAGGCGCCTACTAAGGAACCAGGTGCTGTACTCACAGCTGGGGCCTTACCACACGAGGGTGAGACACAAGCCCCTTTGCGCCCCCTTCTGGCCCTGGTCCCCATTGCACCCTGAGACTGACGTCATCCTCCTACCTAAGGGAGGAGAGGATCCCTCTAGGTTCCTCGCCTTCTCCCCAGCGACCCCCTGCGCAAAGGGGAGGGCTCACCCACCCTGGGACGCCTCACTAGGCTGTAACCTTAGCGCCACCAGTTCTTTATTCCACAGAGTGCTCTACCTAACAGACTCACCAACTCTCTCTCGTTGTCTACGTTGGTGGAGGGTGGCGGCTCTGAGGCCCGCCTTCTGAGGGGTGGTTTTTGCTGAATCCAGCACAAGAGGAGGAGGGCGGGCCAGAAAGCCAGCTGCATCTGCACCATTTGCGAGGCCTGAGCCTCTTCCTCTCTCTGAGCCACTTGCACCCAGAGGGACGAACACCAATCTGTGCTCCCACAGGCAAGTAACCCCCGGAGGCGCCCGCAGAAAATCCTGAATTACTCTGTAAACCTTCCTCCAACCCCTCTTGGCTGCAGCTAGAGGGGTGCCCGGGTCACACAGAGCTCACCAGCGCCCCCTGCAGGCTGACCCACTGACGGCCTTCCATTCGCGTGACTCAGTTGCAGCTTTCAGCAGCAGGGTAGGACAATACTGCCCTCCCGGGGATCCACCTCCCCACCGGGATGGGAGAGGGTAGGGAGACCACGGGGACGTCTCTCAGGAGCTCAGAGGCCATTCCACACGCCTGGTAAGGGCCCCACTCTCAGCACACCCTAAGCAGACTCTGTTTCAGCACCTGCACTCTGAGCAAAATGCCAGGAGACAGTCCCGCCCGCCCAGGAAGTAGATGGGTTCCACCCCAGCTAGAGGCCCTGGTGACCACAGCCCCGCCGTGGACCCAGCAGCGGCCATGTGACAACGGCTCCCAGGGACATCAAGTCTGGAAGGCAGGTTCCATCAGCCTGGTAGCTTTATGGGCAAAGTCCTTATCATGTTGAAACCAGCTTATCCAGATGGGATGTGTTTGTTTCTGCAAATACTCGGGCTCCAAGGCAAGGTGACAAGATAACAAAGACTTAGACAAACGTGATCACACACACACACACACACACACACACACCTCCAGTACGTAAACCCCCAAAACATGGAAATCTATGAATAACCTGGAAAGACTTCAAAATTCAAAACAGCAATCCTTCTTTTAAAAGATTTATTTATTTGAAAGGCAGAGCGAGCGAGCGAGAGAGAGAGAGAGAGAGAGAGAGGTCTTCCATCCACTTGTTCACTCCCCAGGTAGCCGCAATAGCTGGAGCTGTGCTGATCCAAACCCAGGAGCCAGGAGCTTCTTCCAGGTCTCTCACATGAGTACAGGGGCCCAATGACTTGGGCCATCTTCTGCTGCTTTCCCAGGCCATAGCAAAGAGCTGGATCAGAAGTGGAGCAGCTGGGACTCGAACCAGTGCCCATATGAGATACTGGCACCGCAGGTGGAGGACTAACCCACTGTGCCACAGCGCTGGCCCCCACAAAGGGATTCTTGAACTGAAAATTGCAACTCTAGCACACAAGGAGAAGACGTAGAGAGCAGCCCTGCTGGAGTGGGCCTGCCCTGGGGGAGATTTGGCCTCACTTCCCCATGGGTCTAGCTCACTGTGTGATAATAGTTGTCATAACCAGACAGACAATAATAGTCAGCCTCGTCCTCAGGCTGCAGCCCAGCGATGGTCAGGGAGGCAGAGTTGGAGGCGCTGTCTTTGGAGTCAGAGAACCAATCAGGAACCCCTGAAGGTCGTTTGTCATACTGATAGATGAGCTGGGAGGGAGCATGTCCCTGGTGCTGCTGGTACCAGTACACATAGTTGGCCCCAATGTTGCCACTACTGCGGGTGCAGGAAATAGAGACCGTCTCCCCGAGAGACCCCGACACAGCCTGGGGCTGCGTGAACACAACGCTGGCCCACGACCCTACAAGACAACAGTGAGACAGGGATGAATGAGGACGGGACAGGCTCCCTCCCCAGGGGAGGAGGGAGTGGTCCTCATCAAAACAGCCAGCCAGGAGCACCCTCCTCCCCCAGGACCTCCCGCAGGAAGCCACCTGGGCAGGGAGCAAGAAGGGTGAGGAGCAGCAGAGTCCAGGCCATGCTGGATACACCCACACTTCTGCTTCCTGAGCCCCACAGCCAGGCCTGAGCCCACCAACCCTTCTTATCTGCAACCCTGATCCTGAGATGCAAATCTTCCCCCTTCTGCAGGCGACTGCAAGCCCCTCCTTTAACTGTAGCTCGGGCTCCAGCTGAGAAACCGACCTCCCTTGTGGGCAGGCTGCTGTTTTCTCGCTGGGCGGGGGGAGGGTGGTGATGGCACAGAAACACCTGCTAGGGGAGAGAGAAACAGCGACACGTCAAGCAAGTGGTTAGACTACAGCGCCCCCTGGTGGATGGCACAGGTGCTCAGGGCTCTTCCCTTGCTAACCCTCACTCCAGCCACATGGCATGTCCAGGAGGTGCTCTCCGCACAGCATCTTGTGCTCACCGTGTGTTTAAACCTTCAGATCCCAGATTGGCTGTGATTCAGACGTTTTTGAATCATGTTGTGTCTGGGAAAATGATGGATATCACAGCCAGAAACGGGAGGAAATGGAGGGACCTCCGTGGCATCCTGTGAAAGCATCGTAGACGTCCACTGCTGGTGGAGTCAGAGCCATGGGCTTTGGTTTGTTTGCTGCCAACCTGCCAGGGTGATAGACGCATACCTTTTAGCATAAGGTGAGCAAAAATGCAGATTGTGTTTCTTCCAACTCATATTCCCAAAGCTGAGAATCAAACCCAGCTATTCTGATGTGAGATATGGGTGTCTCACCCACTAGACAGATGTTTGCTGTTGAAAATGTGATCCAAGGAACAGTGCTGTGGCACAGCAGGTTAAGCCAGCACCTGCAATGCCAGCATCCCATATGGGTTCGAATCCCAGCTGCTCCACTTCTGATCCGGCTCGCCGCTAATGTGCCTAGGATAGCAATAAAAGATGGCCCAAGTAATCATGCCCTTGCCACCCACGTGGGAGACCCATATGAAGCTTCTGGCTCCTGGCTTCTGCCTGGACCAACCCCAACCATTGCAGCCAATCAAGGAGTGAACCAGCAGATGGAAGAGCTCGCTCTCTCTCTCTCTCTCTCTCTGTCACTCCCTCTCTCTGTGTAACTCTGCTTTTCAAAGAAGTACACAAATCTCCAAAAAAGAAAATGGGATTAAAAGATAAAAATACGTGAACTTTATTACTGACATAAGCTCCATCAAGTTCAAGGCATTTGTGGTTTTTTTAAGATTTAGTAGATATTTATTGGAAATGCAGAGTGACAGAGATTTAGAGAGAGACAAAGAGAGATCTTTCATTCACTGTTTCATTCCCCAAATGGCACAACAGCCAGATCTGGGCCAAGCTAAAACCGGGAGCCAGGAGTTCCATCCTGGTCTCCCACATGGGTGATGGGGCCCATGTACTTGGGCTGTCTTCCACTTTCTTCCCATGTGCATTAGCTAAAAGTTGGATCAGAAGTAGAGCAGCCAGGTCATGAACAAGTACTCCAATATGGAATGCTGGCTTGGTGAGTGGCAGCTCAATCTGCTGTACCACAATGTGCATTCCAAGTTTGAGCACTTTTGTAAGCAATGAAACAAGCCATTTAGTCTAACTCTAAGGAACTCAGAATCCTATGGTCTTGGGAATTCCACATATCAATGTAGTTTTTTACATTATTAACTGAAGAAAAATGAGTACACCTTAAAGATTTTTTTTAAAAGATTATGAAGCATAAAGAAGTCAGAATGTGGGGCCTGCATTGCGGCACAGCAGGTTAAACCACAACCTGCAGCTCTGGTATCCCATATGTGCGTGCCAAATGGGGTCCAGGCTGCACCACTTCTGATCCAGCTCCCTGCTAATACGCCTGGGAAAGCAGCAGAGGATGGCCCAAGTGCTTGGGGCCCTGTGCCCATGTGGGACATCCAAATGAAGTTTCTGGCTCCTGGCTTTGACCTGGCCCAACCCCAGCCTATGCAGCCACTTGGGAAGTAAACCAGTGGATGGAAGATTTCTCTCTCTATCTTTTTTAATTTTTTTTATTTTTTATATTTTATTTTATTTAATGAACATAAATTTCCAAAGTACAGCTTATGGATTACAATAGCTTCCCTCCCCCATAACTTCCCTCCCACCCACAACACTCCCCTCTCCCACTCCCTCTCCCCTTCCATTCACATCAAGATTAATTTTCAATTATCTTTATATACAGAAGATCAATTTAGCATATATTAAGTAAAGATTTCAACAGTTTGCACCCACACAGAAACACAAAGTGTAAAATACTATTTGAGTACTAGTTATAGCATTAATTAAACACCTAAGAGTAATTGTGTATTAATTACGGAGTTCAACCAATAGTTTTAAGTAGAACATAAAAAAATACTAAAAGGGTAAAGTATTAAGTTCTTTTTTTTCTTTTTTTTTGTTTGTTATATAGTTACTTTTATTTAATAAATGTGAATTTACAAAGTGCAACTTTTGTATTGTGGCTTCCCCCCCCCAACCTCCCTCCCTCCCGTGGCCCTCCCATCTCCCACTCTCTCTCCCATCCCGCCCTTCATCGAGTTTCATTTTCAATTACCTTGATATACTGAAGATCAACTTAGTATATACTAAGCAAGGATTTCAACAGGCTGCACTCACACAACCGCACAAGGTATAGGGTATTGTTTGACTAATAGTGTTGTTTTTAAGTTTCATAGTAGAACACTTTAAGGACAGAGATCCTATGTGGGGAGCATGTACTCAGTGACTCCCGTTGTTGATTTAACAATTGGCACTCTTATTTATGACATCAGCAATCACCCGAGACTCTTGCTATGAGCTGTCTAGGCTATGGAAGCCCCTTGAGTTCACCGACTCTGAACTTGTTTAGTCAAGGCCATATCACAGTGGGGGTTCCTTCCTCCCTTCAGAGAAAGGCACCTCTCTCCTTGATGGCCTGTTCCTTCTGCTGGGGTCTTGTTCACCAGGATCTTTCATTTAGATAGTTTTTTGCCACCGTGTCATGGCTTTCCATGCTTGTGCTCTCTCTCTCTCTCTCTCTCTCTCTCTCTCTCTCTCTCTCTCTCTCTTCCCCCCAATTCTGTCTGCTCAAAGAGAAAAGAAGAGAATTAACTCTCTCAAACTTTTCCCAAAAGTTGAAGGGGAGAGAATATTTCCCAATTCTTCTATGAAGTCATCATCACCTTGATACCAAAGCAAGGCAAAGAAGCAAGGAGAGAAAACTCACAATGCGGTTTCCCTTTTGAATATTGGTGCAAAAATCATTAAAGTGTCATCAAACAGCAGTCCTGTCGATGTTTGCTTCATGCATTTTGTGTACTGCAATGTTTTGTGAATGTGTGTTTATAAATGTTAAATATTAAAATGACAAAACACTATGACCAACTGGGATTTATTCCCAGAAGGCAAAATGGTTCATCATACCAAAATAAATCAATGCAATTCTTCAACTTCATAGAATGATGCAAAAACATGGGGCAAGAAAACTTTTGAAATTTTTCTACATCTTTTCTTGATTTAGAAAAAACTCCACAAGTAAATAAGAGATAACACTAAATATCATATATGAAAAAAATCTGTACCTAACATCACACTTAATGGTGAGGCTGAAACCTCTTCCCCTAAGATCAGGAAAAAAGATAAGGGTGCCTGCCTTCAACATCTGTATTCAGTATAATATTGGAAGCTACTATCATTCAAATATGTCTTTTTCCCCTCCCCACAATTGCATGAAGGAGTTTATTCCTCAGAGTCATATATTACTGATGTGAAAAGGGTAAAACCTTAATCCGACTGTGGTCTTTTGGTTGTCACTCCCACTATTGAATTTGGTTTGCTTTGTAAGCAGAGGGTGAGAGACAGACACAGACACACACTAGCCTACTTCCTGTCTTTTGCACTGTGTGTCTTGGACCTCTCCAACTAGATGATCACCCAGTGAGGCCCCTAGCAGCTGCACCTCCAGAGATCTCTGAGCCAAAATAAATCTCTCTTTTTAAAATTATCCTGGGGCCGGCGCTGTGGTATAGCAGGTAAAGCCCCCGCCTGCAGGGCCAGCATCCCATATGGGCACCGGTTCAAGTCCCAGCTGCTCCTCTTCTGAGCCAGCTCTCTGCTTTGGCCTGGGAAAGCAGTAGAAGATGGCTCAAGTCCTTGGGCTCTTGCACTCACATGGAAGACCTGGAAGAAGCTCCTGGCTCCTGGCTTCGGATTGGCACAGCTCTAGCCATTGCAGCCATTTGGGGAGTGACCCAGTAGATAGAAGATTCTCTCTCTCTCTCTCTCTCTCTCTCTCTCTCTCTCTGCCTCTCCTTCTCTCCGTGTAACTCTGACTTTCAAATAAATAAATAAATCTTAATAAAAGAGAGAGAGAGAGAGAGACTAGTGTGGATAGTCTACTCCACGTTCTGGTGGAATCTGCTTCATTTCCATCCAAGACCTTGTAAGCACGGCTTTACTGTCCACATTGCTGTCATGATTCTGCTCCAACAGGGTAAGCCAATATCTAAGACTAGTTGCTTTGCACTGGGACAATGGACATCTCAGGAATCTTCAAGGTTGTTCTCATCAGAGGCCCGGAGAGCTTCCAGGACAGAACTGTTTCCTGGAGCCCTCAGGGTGCTGCTCATGGGCTTCCTGCCCAAGACCACCTTGGAATTCAGTTCCCTGCAATAAGCTAGCAAAGCACTCTATGCTGCAGGTCCAGCTGCAATTCCAGCAAGCAGCAGGCTTTGGTGGTGTCCCTGGAATGCTGGGTGTGCAGGTGCACAGAACACATGAGGTATGAGGTCATGGCAGCTTCCAGTGGAACGTCAATGAAAAGTCTGTGAGTCCAGGCATCAGTTGGACGTAGGGTCAGTGTCCCCACAGAAGGCAGGAGTGCTGTCTAAAGGAGCTGTTGGAAGTAATGCAACAGTGGTGACCCCAAATAGGTAAAGCCACCAGCAATGTGCCACACCCAGCTGTCTGATGCTACTGACATCAGTGTGCAGCCCACGACAACTGTCATTTGTGTGTCACCTAGCAAAGCCATAGGGGTGGGACAGCCCAAGTTCGTGAGGCCACATCCCTTGCTGCATTCTGTCTAAGATGTCAGCCATGGGGCTTTAGGACTGAGCGTCTTCCCTGGTGAGTTTTGCTTAGGCTCAGTACCCCCTTCTACTTCCTTGCTATTTCCTTTTGGCATGGAGATATACACCCTGTGGCTGTTGTGCCATTGCATCATGGAAACAGATAACTTGTTCTGATCCTCAGATGAGACTTTGGATTTTGTACTTTGGAGTCAGTGCTAGAACAGCCCAAGACTGTGGGTTGCAGAATTATTGCGTTTTGCACTGTGAGAAGGGCATGAAATCTTTGGGGTCAGGGAGAGGAAGCTGTGAATGGATATGTTTAAGTGTCTCCCAAGGATTTATATGTTGAAGTTGAATTCCACTGTGAGGTATTAAAAGGGTGGAAATCCAATCCAAATACGGTGTTTAGAGGTACAGACTATGGAAAGTGATTAATTTAAAATGGACATTAGGGAGCCAGCGCCATGGCTCACTTGGTTAATCCTCCACCTGTGGCGCCGGCATCCCATGTGGGCACCGGGTTCTAGTCCTGGTTGCTCCTCTTCCAGTTCAGCTCTCTGCTGTGGGAAGGCAGAGGAGGATGGCCCAAGAGCTTGGGCCCCTGCACCCGCATGGGAGACCAGGAGGAAGCACCTAGCTTCTGGCTTTGGATGGGCATAGCTCTGGCCGTGGTGGCCATTTAGGGGGTAAACCAACGGAAGAAAGATCTTTCTCTCTGTCTGTCTGTCTCTCTCACTGTCTAACTCTATCTATCAAATAAATAAAAATAAAATAAAATGGACATTAGGGTGTGGCCCTCATGATTTAATCCTGGCAGATATATAAGAGGGAAAGAAACTTTACAGACCCACGTGGTTCATGCATCTTTCACGTTGATGACACATGCTGCCTTGGGATTTTGCCAGCAAGAAGATCATTGCCCAGTAAGGCCCCCAACCCTTTTACTTCCAGAACAATAGACCAAAAGTAGCCTCGTCTAGATTTCACTAAAGTAATGAAAAATAGACTAACACAAAAGTTCTACCCAGGGTAGTTAGATGAGGAAAAGAAATAAATGGCATCTAAATTGTAAAAAAACAAACAAAAAAAAAAACACATACACACACAATGAACTATACTTATAATTCTTTTAGAAGTTTAAGGCAGAATTATCAAATAATCCAGCAATTCTACTTCTAAGCACATACCCAATGCAAACACTCAAATAGCTACTTGAACAGCAACATCTTTATCAGCATTATTCACACCAGCTAATGGTAGAAACAACCCACATATCTATCCCCAAAAAAACTGGTAAACAAAATGTGGTATGGAAATGCAGTGAAACATAAAGTCTTGGAAAGAAATGTACTTCTGTACAACCATTATAGAAAATAGTATGGAGATTCCTCAAAAATCTGAAAATCAGTCTACCATATGACCCAGCCATTGCACTTCTGGGAATTTACTCAAACGAAATGCAATCAGCATATGAAAGAATTGTCTGTACTCTCATTTTTATGCCAGCTCAATTCACAATAGCTAGGATATGGAAACAACCCAGATGTCCATCAACTGATGACTAGATAAAGAAAACATGTTTATATATATATATATATATATATATATATATATATATATATAGGACTACTACTACTCAGCCATAAAACAGAATGAAATACTGTCTTTTGCAACAAAATGGATGCAACTGGAAACCATTTCACTTAGTGAAATAGTTCAGACCCAAAAAGACAAATATTATATGTTTCCTCTGATACATGGTTGCTAATACTTGGAGCATAAAAAATGCGATGCATATGGGTGAAATTGGCAACTTGAGATTTGATTATTGTTTATAGCTTTTGTCTATGCTCCTTGCAGAATAGTGGTCTTTCTATTTTCTACTTGAATTCCTTATTCAATAGGGAATTAAGCCTGTGATTATAAAGTAGATTGAAAGTATGTTATTGCAAAAGTTAAAAGAAAAAAAAGGCAGGAAGGAGGAGAGAGGGAGGGTAGAATCTCTCATTATGTGCTTAAAACTGTGTATATGAAATGCATGAAATCTGTTCTCATTATATTAAAAAATGCTATTCTGATCCATGTTCCAATAATAGATGAACTTTGAAAGCATCATGCTAAGCAGAATAGGCCAGACCCAGCAAGAAAAATACTGTCCAAATCTGTTTATATGAGCTACGAAAAAAACCACATAGAGATACAAAGTATAATACAAGTCCAGAAGCTGAAGAGAGAGTTACTATTCATTGGGTACAGGATTCTATTTAGGACGTTGGAAAAGTATTGAAAATGGGTGGCGGAGAATGTACTTAATTCTACAAAATCTTAGATGTCAATGAGGTTGGAATTGCATACTTTATGTTATGCATGTTTTAACAGCAAATATGAAAACTAACTTCTAGCCGGTGCCATGGCTCAATAGGCTAATCCTCCACCTGCGGCGCTGGCACACCGGGTTCTAGTCCCAGTCAAGGCACCGGATTCTGTCCCGGTTGCCCCTCTTCCAGGCCAGCCCTCTGCTGTGGTCCAGGAGTACAGTGGAGGATGGCCCAAGTGCTTGGGCCCTGCACCCGCATGGGAGACCAGGATAAGCACCTGGCTCCTGCCTTCGGATCAGCGTGGTGCGCTGGCCACAGTGCGCCGGCCGCAGCGGCCATTGGAGGGTGAACCAACGGCAAAGGAAGACCTTTCTCTCTGTCTCTCTCTCTCTCACTGTCCACTCTGCCTGTCAAAAAAATTAAAATAAATAAATAAAAATGAAAACTAACTTCTAACTTCAGGTGTGCTGCCTTCATGGACCCACAGGTCCCCAGTCATGGCATCATGCCCTCAACATTGCACACATGATGCCTGTGGAGCTAGCTACTTCTCGTCCTGACCCAATGGCCACCATCCTGATGTGTCATGCGACATCCACTCAGACTGCCTGTTCCAGAGAAACACAGGGCTTTTAAGCCCATAAAATGTATAATTAACGTAATTGTCCAAATGTATAATTCCTTGGTGGAGAATCGTATCTGTTCTCTCAGGAACCATCACTCTGTCCTTTCCAAACCTGGACCCTTCACCTCTGCACTTCGTCCATCCTTGTCCTCATTGACCTGCTCAGATCTCCTTAAATACCCCAGATTTCCACTCAGTGAACCCCACACCACCACTACTCTCCCCTTCCAATTCTCACCCCCATTGCTAACTCTTCATGGCTCCTTCTCACATCCTGCTAGATTAGTACCGACAGCAAGGGGGCCAGGGTCTCAGAGCCTAGATTGCAAGGACAGGGTTAAAGGTCCCCATGCCCAGGAAGTGGCTCCGGTATCTCACCACACCTGCCTGACGCTGATCATTAACCCAGGGCTTTTATTTATATATAAATAGAAAGAGGCCCCCTTTGGTGTGGAGACAGCACCACCTGCAGCCATGGCCAGCACATCAAGCCCTAGCACCATGGCTGGGACCCCAGAGCCACCTCCACTGTCAGAGCGTCTCCAAAATGCTGCTGACATCTCTGTCCTTGTCGTCTACTTCATAGTGGTGATGACTGTTGGGATGTGGGTACGTGGGAGCCCAGTGGGCTGTCAGGGTGGACACAAGGGCTAGGGGGGGTGGGCAGAGGGTCTTGGGGCGGGAGAGGTGTGGTGTGATAAAACTAAGATGAGCTTAGGGATTTTCACAAATGTCTTTGCCCAACAGAATCATTTCTTTGTGTGTGACCTGAGCAATGCTTTCACTGGGTGGATTTTTGCCCCTTGCAATCTCATCATCTGAACAAAGCCAACGCTGAGAACTTTAGACTTACTGTTTGGCATCTCCAGAGCTTGGGAAAACATTTTTATTTTTATTATCTCACTTTATCGATTTTCCTTTACTGCCTTCTCAGTACATGGCTTATTGCATTGAACAATTGATTCCTCCTTGTTCATTCTTTGTTTCTAATAATGAATTAAAGGCTGCAATTTCTCTTTCAATCCCAGCTCTAGTGATACCTCACATCATTTATATAAATGAAAAGAAACCATGATCATGAAGGCCTTCAGGAACCAATGCTCCATCAGATAGTAGGAAGTTCTGTCAGCACTGGGGATCTTGTACATCTTGGGTGCACCTGCTGTCATGTGATCCACATGTTCTCCTTTCTTCTCAGGCAACACTGAAGACAAACCGCAGCACTGTAAGAGAATTCTTCTTGGCTGGTCGAGACGTGGCCTGGTGGCCGGTGAGTGGCCCAGAGTTTGCAGAGAAAAACAGAATCTCCTGTCTGTGTTTAAAAAGAGAATAATGGGGGCCAATGCTGTGGCACAGTGGGTTAAGCCACCACCCACAACACCAATAGTTCATGTCAGAGAGCCAGCTGAGCCTGGGCTGCTCTGCTTCCTATCCAGCTCCCTGCTAAAGCTCCTGGGAAGGCAGTAGAACCAGTGAGAGGCTAGATTTTTTTAATATTTATTTATTTATGTAAAAGGCAGAGTTACAAAGAGAGGGAGAGACAGAGAGAGATCTTCCATCTGCTGGTTCATTCCCAAATGACTGCAGTGGCTGGAACTGGGCCAGACCAAAGCCAAGAGCCAGGAGCTTCTTCCAGGTCTCCTACGTGGGTACGGGAGCACAAGCACTTGGGCCGTCTTCTACTGCTTTCCCAGATGCATTAGCAGGGGCTGGATAGCAAGTACAGCAGCCACGAAACAAACCAGCCCCCGTGTGGGATGCCAGCACCGCAGATGGCAGTTTTACCCACTATGCCACAGTGCCGGCCCCGAGGGGCTGGATTTTGCCCATGAGCAGTCACTGGCTGCTCTGAGGAGCAGTGACCAAAACGTCTCAATGTCTGCCCATTTCAAGAAGTCTGATTTGGATCCTTTAATTCTCATCCTAGCCTATTCTCCTCAATTCCAGATTGGTGCCTCTCTCTTCGCCAGTAACATCAGCAGTGGCCACTTTGTGGGGCTGGCTGGGACAGCAGCAGCTTCTGGAATTGCTATTGCAACATTTGAATGGAACGTAAGTGGCATCCTGTATAGCCTTGTTCCTTTAAGTTAAATTCGTATCCCAGAGTCTTCTATAAATGCCTATGGGATATACTCCTCTTTGCTGTAATTTCTATCTTCTTTTCTTTAAAACCCCTCTGTGACCCCATTCCACCTAGAACATTCCAAGCATATTACGACTTACCTCTGATATCTTTTCAAACTGTTATTCCCACCAGGAATGTCATTCTATATGATTGCATGCCCACTTTCACTTGACCTGCTAGACCAGTTTAGTCCTCAATTTTATCTACCCCCCAGACACGACCTGTCTACCCCTGCATTAGACGCAAGGACTTAAAACATTGCAAAACCCTGCAAGTGTGGTTGCTTCTTTGCAGAAACTTGTGTTCTGATGGTCAGGACAAGCATGCACTCACTATGGTGTAGAAATTGCAAAGAAGGGAGTATCCACTGCAGGAGCCCATGGAGGGGCATCTCCCACGGATGATGGCTGAGGTTGGGCACGTGTCAAGGGAGCTTCCTGGGGCTGATTCCAGAAGGAATCAATTGTCCCAATGTACATGGGGGAGAAGGGAAGGGATGCAGACCAAGAGAGACACCACAGAGTGGGGAGTGAATGGTTTTGAGAGCTGGTAGGGAGACACTACAAGACAGGGTGTTTAGATTCCTAACCACTCTATTATCATTTCACCCATAGACTCTGTGCACTCTTTATCAGATCCTGTGTTCTATATGGACAGTTCTCCCACCTGCCCATCATCCAGCTCATGGCTGGCCATGTGGTGACTAGGCCATGGGCTTCCTTAATACCTAGGAGGCTCTGATGCCTCCTCTGTAAGACAAGACTAACTCTGCCCATGACACTTGGCCCTCCTGGTTGCAGTGAGAGATCATGAGTGACAAACGTGGAGACTCTTTGTACACGTTACTCATTAATGCTAAGATGACAATTGTTATCATTATTATATGTAATGAGGTTTAGATAGCACTGGGGATATTTTTTATATCTCCAAAAATGTCTCTCATTGCTTTGTTACCCTGTATATAAGGTGCTTCCAACTGTTTGTGGAAGATGTGTGTCATGAAAAGACCCTGCAAGGATTTCCAGATCAAAACTGTTACACCAGAATAAACTGACCTTTCAACTCGATTTCTCTGCTAACTTTTTGGAGCACCCTCTTATGGAATTCCTGATGCTCCAGAATATTCCTTTCAGCCAGGATGACCTGAGCTTGAGAACAGTCAGCCTACTAGGCTTTGATCTCTGCTAATCCACTGTCTTTCAGCACACAGCTTTGGTCATCTCCTAAGCCCTAGCAAACTGTGGTCTCTGAATCATAGAAACTCAGCCCAGCGCTGTGGCGCAATGGGTCAATGCCCTGGCCTGAAGCACCGGCATCCCTTATGGATACCGTTTGAGACTTGGCTGCTCCACTTCCGATCCAGCTCTCTGCTATGGCTTGGGAAAGCAGTAGAATATGGCCCAAGTCCTTGGGCCCCTGAACCCGCATAGGAGACCCAGAGGAGGCTCCTGGCTCCTGGCTTTGGATCAGCACAGCTCCAGCCATTGCTGCCATCTTGGGAGTGAACCAGCAGATGGAAGACCTCTCTCTCTCTCTCTTTCTCTCTTTCTGCCTTTCCGCTCTCTGTGTAATTCTGACTTTCAAATACATAAATCTTTAAAAAACAAAAAAAGAAAGAAAGAAACCCAGGAAACAGAGGTCCACATTTGTCTGGGTAGCATAAATTCTTGAATGGGACAGAAGACAATCAAACTTCTTGGTTCAGACTCAGATATCGTGAAAAATAAGGACCACAAGCTCCCTAACTTTGCTTTTCTTGATCTCTTGTAGGCCTTGCTGCTGCTGCTGGTTCTAGGGTGGGTCTTTGTGCCCATTTACATCAAGGCAGGGGTGAGTATCCCCAGGTCTCCGCTCCTGATCTGCTAGTGTGGATCTGTCAGGCGTTCACTTGCACACATTCTGTCTGTGTGATCATGAGCCCAGCCTTGCTCTGGCCTATCAGTAGGCAAAGGCAAGTGAAACATCAACCTCCTTCCCCAACAGCTCCAAGAGAAACGTGTGGCTGCACTCAAGTGAGAACCGGGTGCTGGCCCCGCATAATGACCACCATGGCAGGTGTCACCCTGGTGTAGGAACCCTGGAAAAAAGCTGCTCAGGGGTAACCTGACTTGAGCCATCAGAAATAAGAGCATCACCCCGCCCTGTAGGTAGACATGTCGTATGACAGAGGGTCAGAAAAAAAAAACACACATACAAAAGTGAAAAAGTTGCCGGTCAGATGCAATTACTGTGAAGATAGGACATAAAGAAAGAGTCGTGGGAGATGATTCAATTGTGAAGGACTTGTGTATCTCCTAGACTTAAAAGCACTTGATGAAATAACTGTGCATTAAGTACAATAGCCAAGTCTGCCCTCCCTGTGGGAAGCACATTATCAGGTGGGTCAACAGGATTCATCTAAGTGTCTCCAGAAGGCTAAAAACTAACCGTAAGTTTCACTTTCACTTTTTTAAAGTCTGACAAACCTTGCTCATATGGTATATAGAACTTTGTTTCCATCAGGTTGCAGGGAGGGAGTTTTATAGCAAAGAAATTAAGACTCCACTATTTAAATAAAAGTTTCCTGTTTCAGACTTTAAAAAAAAAATACAAGTAAAAAGTCACACCCTGTGTTCTGGAAATCAGCAATGTAAGATTCCCAGGGGCTGTAAGGTCATGACCAGTTCTTGTCTTCGAGGAGTTCCCCTCAGACAACTGAGTGGAGAGTGCACTCGAGTAGAAGTTCACACAACATCCTACAGGGCTCTAGGAAGGAAACAGACAGGGAAGGGGGAGCTGCTTCTGGGGTAGAGACACCAGGTTTGATGGCAGACGAGAAGGGGAGGCACCGGAGGAGGACGTGTTAGGAGCAGCTCTAAGACTTGAAGCTCCAGGGTCTGGAGACATGAGGCTACCAGGAACATAGCAGGAAGATCGCAGAGGGGAATCAGGTGGTGGAGAACAGGGGACCACCGAGTTCACTTAGAAACTGGGGGAGCGTTTGGTGCCTTCAGGACACCCACAAGGAGACCCCAGGCAGTGGGGAGTGAGCCTTGTACATTAGCCAGCAGGGAGAGTTGGGCTGGACGCCTTTTTTTTTTTTTTCTTTTTTCTTTTCTTTTCTTTTTTTTTTTTTTTTTACAGGCAGAGTGGACAGTGAGAGAGAGAGACAGAGAGAAAGGTTCACCCTCCAATGGCCGCCGCCGGCGGCGTGCTGCGGCCGGCGCACCGCGCTGATCCGAAGGCAGGAGCCAAGTGCTTCTCCTGGTTTCCCATGGGGTGCAGGGCCCAAGCACTTGGCCCATCCTCCACTGCACTCCCTGGCCATAGCAGAGAGCTGGCCTGGAAGAGGGGCAACCGGGACAGAATCCGGCGCCCCAACCGGGACTAGAACCCGTGTGCCGGCGCCGCAAGGCGGAGGATTAGCCTAGTGAGCCACGGCGCCGGCAAGGGCTGGATGTCTTGACCCAGGCCTCCTCGGGTTTAGAAACAGTGCAAGAGCACCCAGTCTGTTGCATGGGATCGGATATTTCTCTGTGAAGCGGGAGCCCTCGCTCCATCAGCAGGTTGAGAGGAAACATCAGTTCTGCATCTCCTGTACATGTGTCATGCCGGGTGACCCCAGGGGGGCGTGGCAGGGTACCGGATCCAGTCTGTGCATCCAGGGAAGCATCTGTGAGCAAGCGCTGTCTGAATGGAGCCCTGAGGACCTGGCAGAGGCTGGTCATGTAAAGGCAAGGGAGGAAGAAGCGCCTGAGCAGAGGGAGTAAGGTGAACACAGCCCAGAACCAGAGGTGTGGGGTCCTTGGAGGTGCAGTGTGCCCTGGCCTGGGGCTGGAAGGTGGGACACAGATGGAGCCGGAGAACCGGACAGGAGCCTGGGAAGCCAGGGAAGGACTGGGGCTCAACCCGCTCTACTCAGTGGACCTCTCCGTCTGAGGTCTGATCATTTTCTTTGTTCTGTAAAGTTCTCAGGGGCTCTTTTTTTTTTTTTTTTCTTTTTTTTAATGGCGTTCACTTCCTCAGAGCTGAATTAATCACATTCCTTTTCCTTCGCTACTTCAATGTATCTTCTTCCTACACAAATGTCCACGTGATGGAATAGGTCATAAAATGTACTTGGATGAAAAGTAGTGGAATTCTGTGCATGAGTGAAAATGTGAATGCGTAAGGGGACTTCCAAACGTTAGTGGAACAGTGCACATGACAATATACCCTTCTTTCCCCACACTGTGGACAATATCACAAAGCCCTCATGTTGTGATGCTAATATCCCTGTTTCCAAAAAATATAGTATATACATGTATGCATATAATATCTACATATGAAGTGAACATGGCAAAATGTAAAAGTTGTTCAGTCTGAAAACTAAAAAAAAAAGTATAAAAAAGTTCATGGAGAGTGGAGTTAAGAGATCAGTTTATTTTGGTGCGAAGAATGTTGAAATCCATGTATGGTTTTCTCAAATGTGTTTTCTGTGAACTTTTGTAAATCTCTTTATATATTTTAATTTATGTAAATGATATTCCACTATAGACTTTATTCTGTTTTCCCTGTATTTGGATTTGTCTTTTAAAACTCTCAACTGGCCGGCGCCGTGGCTCAGTAGGCTAATCCTCTGCCTTGCGGTGCTGGCACACGGGGTTCTAGTCCCAGTCGGGGCGCCGGATTCTGTCCCGGTTGCCCCTCTTCCAGGCCAGCTCTCTGCTGTGGCCAGGGAGTGCAGTGGAGGATGGCCCAGGTGCTTGGGCCCTGCACCCCATGGGAGACCAGGAAAAGCACCTCGCTCCTGGCTCCTGCCATCGGATCAGCACGGTGCGCTGGCCGCAGCGCGCCGACCACGGCGGCCATTGGAGGGTGAACCAACGGCAAAGGAAGACCTTTCTCTCTGTCTCTCTCTCTCACTGTCCACTCCGCCTGTCAAAAAAAAAAAAAAAAAAAACTCTCAAGTTAGGTATGCATGTTTACTTTATATTTTCTTCCTGGCTATGACACATTCACTACCTTATTGATGAACCCCTAGGCTGCCTCCTACTCTCAGCACTACAGAGGAGAACATGAGGGACTTTTGAAAGAGGGGTGATTTCAATAAATATGCATGAGTTTAAATGTTTTGAGTGAACAACTTAAAAGGGGAAGAGAAGTGGTAGACACTTACTTTTCTTCTTGTGGACCTACAATGAGTATTCTCTAACCCAGGGTTTCTTAATTTCAACACTTGACAGTGATTCTGGCCGTAGAGTGCTGTGTTGTGCAAGGCTGGCCTGTGCATTGTCAGATGTTCAGTGTCCCTGGGCTTTGCCCATTAGACACCTGGAACACCTGCTGTTTTCAAATGCCCCCTGATGGGAGGTAAAAATCATTCCCTTTAAGAAATCATCACTCTGGGGCCAGCACTGCTGCGTAGTGGGTAAAGCTGCCACCAGTAGTGCCGGCATCCCATATGGGTGCCGGTTCGAGTCCTGGCTGCTCCACTTCCAATCCAGCTCCCTGCTATGTCCTGGGAGAGCAGTGGAAGATGGCCCAAGTGCTTGGGCCCCTGCACCTGCTTTGGATCAGCTCAGTTCCAGCTGTTGCAGCCATTTGAGAAGTGAACCAGCCGATGGAAGACTTCTCCCCCCACCTTCTGCCTCTGCTTCTCTGTAACTCTGCCTTTCAAATAAATAAATAAATAAATCTTTAAAAAAAAAAAAAAAAGGAAATCACCACTCCATGATCGTTTGTCCCTGGATTTTCCTGCACCCTCACCAACACGTGATTCTTTCCTTCATTCTATTTTTTTTTTTTTTTTGCCATCCCAACAGCTGTGGTTCCTTTTTTTTATTTATTTATTTTTTATTTTTATTTTTTTGACAGGCAGAGTGGACAGTGAGAGAGAGAGACAGAGAGAAAGGTCTTCCTTTGCCATTGGTTCACCCTCCAATGGCTGCCGCGGCTGGCGCGCTGCGGCCGGCGCACCGCGCTGATCCGATGGCAGGAGCCAGGAGCCAGGTGCTTCTCTTGGTCTCCCATGGGGTGCAGGGCCCAAGCACCTGGGCCATCCTCCACTGCACTCCCTGGCCACAGCAGAGAGCTGGCCTGGAAGAGGGGCAACCGGGACAGAATCCAGCGCCCCAACCGGGACTAGAACCCGGTGTGCCGGCGCCGCTAGGCGGAGGATTAGCCTAGTGAGCCGTGGCGCCGGCTATGTGGTTCCTTTTTTAAAATTAGAGATTGGACATACTACAGCTGTGTTGGTTCCCTTCAATCCAGGGGTTGCCAACACACTGGGACGCTGCCCTGTCTTGCTGAGTCAAATGTCTACATTTATTCCTTAGGCTGCTGAGGTTTGGACCATTGAGTGCCTGGACCTTGGGGTTGTTTCTGGGATTAGTGATCTCACGGGGCAAGTCTTCTGACCAGTTCCTTGCAGGCCATCAAATATTCACCCTTCATTCATCCTGAGTCCCTTCTAGATGCAGACTTGAACAGGCTCTGTTGAGGGAGGTTATCCTAGTGCAAGGACTCAGGACAGAGAACCCTTGTGTGGGTTCTTGGGTGTGGTTCAGCATCCTTCAGTGGTTTCTCTCAGCTTCTGGTCCATCCCTACTTCCTCTTACTGCTTTTGATATTGCATAAGTATTTATTCAACATTCTGTTATGCTGGGGGAGATTAAATCATGAATTCAGTCTAGTATAAAGAAATTAGAAAGCTGCCTTTTTTTAAGCTGTTTCAACACATGGTTAATTTTGCATTGCAATTATAAAATCCATAGTTTTTTCACTATTAGGGATCTAATAATTCTCTTCTTCTCAGGAAAGATAATCAAATAAATTTGTCCAGTTATCAAACTGTGGTTCATTATTTACAAGTAATATCATTCTAACTGGAATGAAACATTATCAGTGAAAATAATTTTTAAATTTTTTAAAATATTTATTTATTTGAAAGGCAGAGTGGCAGTGAAAGAGAGAGAGAGAGAGAAAGGGAGAGAGAGAAAGAAATCAATCTTCCATCTGCTGGTTCACTCTCCAAGTGTCTACAATGACTGGCAGTGGCCCAGGCTAAGGCCAGGAGCCTGGGACTCCCACATGGATGGCAGGGGCCCAGGCCCAAGCCAGGAACTCCTTCTGGGACTCCCATGTGGGTGCAGGGGCCCAAGTACTTGGGCCATCTTCTGATGCTTTCCAAGCGCACTGGCAGAGAGTTGGATTGGAAGCAGAGAAGCCAGGACTTGATCCAGCACTCTGATATGAGATGTCTGTGTTGTAGATTGCAGCTTACCTCACCATGCCACCACATCAGCCTCTGAAATGATAAAAAATTATGGGGCCATACTGTGTATAGCCACTACCTAGGATGCCAACATCCTAAATGGGTGCCAGTTCCTGTTCCAGCTGCTCTACTTCCAATCCAGCTCCCTGTTAATGGCCTGGGAGGTCCCAAGTGCTTGGGCCCCTACCACCCACATGAGAGACCCACAGGAAGCTCTTGGCTCCTGGCTTTGGCCTGGGCCAGCCCTGGCCACTGCCACCAACTGAGGAGTGAACCAGCAGATGGAAGATCTCACTCTCTCCATCTTTCCCTCTGCCTCAAGTAAATAAATCTTTTAAAAAATTAATAATAATAATAATAATATGAGTTGAGTTTGTAACAGACACTTGACATTGTGGGTGGTGCTTTACATGCACCTTCATATTGAACTCCTCCTATTCCACAGACGAGATAACAGAGGTTTTATATATATATATAACTTTATATATGATAAATATTGGAGCTGGGAAAAGGCCCCAGGATGGTCTGCCCAGTGCCTTTGTTCATGCCAGCCTGGCCGTTCTGCCAAGGAGCTGGGCCTTTCTCACCTCTGCTTTCCCAGCAGGCAGCACTCGGCACTTACCTGCCCTTAAAAGCCAATGAACAGTTGTAAAATCAGGATGCCCGAGTGCTGAAGGCGGATCCTACTGACGGTTGTCTCTGCAGGTGATGACCATGCCGGAGTATCTCAAGAAGCGGTTTGGTGGGAAGCGGCTCCAGGTCTACCTGTCCGTCATCTCCATCTTCATCTCTGTGGTCTTGAGAATCTCAGTGAGTTTTGTGATTCCTGACATTCGGGCTTCGAGGGGTTGTCGGATGGGTCTGGGTCAGGGGGTCAAGGTCAGAGAGCCTGCTTGTGTAGACTGCTGACTGTCCTTGTAGCGTCAAACCCTACAGATGCTTTAAACTCCCGAGAGTCTCTCTGCCAAGTCTTAATGGGATAAAGGAGCTTCGGAGACCCTTATTTATAGAGGGGAGACTTTCAGGCCGTGAGAGATTCCAGAGTGTAAATCCACCCACTCGCTAAGGATACGAAACACGGGTGTACAGAAATCAAGTGTTTCCTTCAAGTAGCAGAGCTCATTAGCAGGACAGAAGAGGACTTCTCTGCTCCCCTGCCTTTTCCACACTGCCTCTATTCTTTCTCAGAGTCAGTCAGAGTTTCCATTTTCAGTTTCGGTTTGATTATCGGACACATGGACCCAAGGGGAGTGTCTTATATTATGATGTTGACTTTTCTGAAATGTACCCCATTTGGTCTAAGACTGTCACTGTAAAACACGTACCACAAACAAATGTTAAAGGAATTTAAACATCATATGCCTTGGAGATAATCAGGGGTAGGAAAAAAAAAAAAGAACGAAATTTGAATTTCAGTCCCAGGTGTAGAAAACAAGGAAATAATCATTCTTTTTGCATCTGGTGTACCTGTCAGTGGTCATGAAATAGTCTCAGATTCACAAGGCAGGCAGACAGGTGTCTCAATGGTCATGGGAGAACTCACTTTCACTGTTGCTCTTCTGTTGAGCTCAATCATTGTTGAATAAAGCAGGTGCTGAGATGGCCTGAGCCACCCTAGTGAAATGTGACTGTTTCCCAGCACTTACTGCGTGCTACTGAGCTCTGTGTTTGGGTAAAAGAGATTCCTGAGCAGCAGGATTCACCGTATGGCTAAAGAAATAAGAATTCTATACCTGACATAATCAGACTCTTAAAATTCAAGCTAGACTAGAGAGCATGGACCAGGGTGGGGGGTGCCTGTGGTGCATGCCCAGGAAAGAAGGTGGTCCCTGATGGATGGAGCTGGAGGTGGTCTTCATAGAGGGGTCCCTTAAGCAGTCCAGGGTAGGCAGGTTAACAGAGGCAGCAAGAAGCATAGGACCCCAGGAGTATTGGGTGCTTTGTGCTCCCATGTTCCCACGCGTGCGTAGGGCTTGCCAATCTCCCAGTTCTCCACTGGCTTCCACAGTTGCAGCCTTACGGTTCTAGAGAGAACGAACAGGTACTTAGTCCAAATGACAGCAGCCCAAGAGGTCCCTGAGGGACCTTCCTGGAATGGAATGTTGATGAGATGGGTGGGGGTGCAGGGTCTGAGTGTGGGGGGGGGTCCAGTGGTCAGCTGGGAAGATAATACAGCAGGAGTTCACTCTTACCTGCAGTGTTGTGTTTTAAGTGATGTTAGCAATGATTAATTTTAGGCGTGGTCTTTTGTGTACTTTTACACCCTGATAACAGATCCTGCAGTGGGTACTTATTAACCAGATCATTCAGGAGGAATAAGTATAGGACAAGGCTCTCTCTCCTGCCCAGGTGGGTAAGGATGGTGTGTTCCCTGGTTCTCCACCTCCAATAACACACATTATTGAGATTCGGTATGGAGTGGGAGTAGTTAATGGGAATGAATTGAACTATTAATGAATGGGAAGGATTCCCTTTATGCCTCAGTATTTCATAGAAACATTGAGAATCTTTTAGAAAATCACATTGCAATTTTTAAAAAAGGTTTATTTATTTATTTAAGAGGCAGAGATACAGAGAGAGGAGAGAGGAGAGAGAGAGAGAGAGAGAGAGAGAGAAGAGAAGAGAAGAGGACAGAGAGAGGTCTTCCATCTGCTGGTTTATTCCCCAAATGGCCACAAAAGCAGGGGCTGGGCCAAGTCAAAGCCAGAAACCAGGAACTTCTTCCAGGTCTCCCACATGGGTGCAGGGGCCCAAACACTTGGGCTGTCTTCTACTGCTTTCCCAGGTGCATTAGCTTGGAGCTGGATCAGAAGTGGTGCAGCTGGGACTCAAACCAGTGCCTATTTGGGGTGCTGGCACTGTAGGTGAAGGCTTAACCTTCTATGCCACAGCGCCAGCCCCACACTGCAAATTTTAAAACTGGGAAACTAATTTTCTTACTTGCTGTTATCTAATTTCCATGATCCTTATTCAAATACTGAGAGTTGTGTCCATAATGCCCTTTATAGCAAAGGAAAAGCCTGGGTCTTTGCAAATCTACTTTATCATGAGAAATATTTATTTTTTAAAGATTTATTTATTTATTTGAAAAGCAGTTATGGAGACACAGAGGCAGAGAGACAGAGAGAGGTCTTCTATCTGCTGGTTCACTTCCCACATGGCCGCAATGGCTGGAGCTGAGCCGATCCAAAGCCAGGAGCCAGGAGCTTCTTCAGGGTCTCCCATGTGGATGCAGAGGCCTAAGGACTTGGACCATCTTCCACTGCTTTCCCAGACCATAGCAGAGAGTTGAATCAGAAGTGGAGCGGCTGGGACTCAAGCCAGCACCCATATGGGATGCCGGCACTGAGGGTGGCGACTTTACCCACTATGCCAGAGTGCTGGCCCCAAGAAATATTTTATTATCATTACAAATGTGATTCATGCCTCTGAGTTGCACATTTTAAATGGTTAAAATGGCAAGTGTTAGCTATATTTTACTACAATAAAAAGACATAGCTAATATTCTATTTCAAAAACATCCATTAACACCTATATAATATGTACTATATAATACAGAACAGCCATCCATACTGAGATAATGTAGGTTATCATAATAAGATAGTGTATAGAGATGCCTGAGTGAGACAAAAGGCTGAGGTTCAGTAATTATCTCTCTGTGTGGATCAGCATGAATGAGACAGCTATAGACACAGATAGATACAGACAGGCTTGAGTGCTAACCTCCGTAGGTCATACCCTTTTTTCTGAAGTGATGAGCTGCTTTATTTGTAAATGTAATGCAATGTTTTTAAAAAGCACAGTTTCCCCTCGATTTAGTAATTGCATTGCCAGAAAACCCCTCCTTTGGAATTCTTTATCAGGTATTTCGTCACCATCTTTTCCTCTGGAGACTGTTACTAATGCTTTCTTGTGTTATCTGGGGGGAACTCAGCTTGCCTTACTTTTCATGCTGCCTGTGTCCGTACACTGCTAATGTGCACATTAGATTTGCTGTTTCTGCATTTTAACACCTGCTTGGCCAGCTGTGTTGGCTTTATTTACAGTTCTACACTGAAGTGCATTCTCCTTGCGTCTTCCTCCACAACAACTGATGGCAACACTTTTGGGGACACAGAGGCACTCCTCTTGGGCCCAGAAGGGATGCACAGAACTCAGCAGGAACCAGTGTGGCAGGTTCCTGAGCCCCAGAGGTGTCGTCCCTCACAGCACTGTGGCTGGACTTGTGGGAGCAGCAGCCCAGACACTTGGAGGAATTGCCAGGTTTCCTTAGGTGCAAGCATTGGCAGGGGTATGGTCAGCATACTGCGGCTGGAGCTGTGTAGCATTGGCCCGAAGGCTGGCAGGGGTGTTCGAATCCCCACAGTGCCAGTCCAAGGTTCCTATACAATGCCTTGGTATCTATCTACCTTTTCTTCCCCCAAGCAGACAATTATTCCCTGTGTATTAATGCTGCCTGGTGTTGGGGGAGGGATCAAGTGAGTAGTCATGGCCACCCTCACTGCCGTGCTCACGGCAAGTCTGGGGACTACATTCACAGGCGCTGGCCTGAGAACAGGGACCTTTGGATTCCACCTGGTGATGGTTTTACCAGATTCAAGATGCAGTGCTGTGCTCACTTTGGTACCTTACTTCCCTGGGGGGCCGGCGTCTTGCTCCTTGCTGTCTGTCCATGGTTTTAGGAATTGTTCTAAAGGTCGCCCTTTGGCTGCTCAGACAGACACTAAGCTGGCTTGTACTTGAGACTTTGCAGCTACAGGGTCCTGCGCTGACTTATGGGTACATGCAAATCCCACAAGAGGCTGGGGTGATGCAGGTTGGAGTACTCACCACCCTACCCCAGGCATCCACCTTATGCTGGGGGAAAAGTTTGGAGACTCTGTGTGCTAATACTGGCCTGAGGATAGAAGCATCTGGTGTTGGGTCTCACTGCAGTGGAACTGGTACTGAGCTTTAAGCCAAATCCCTGTGCTCATTTTCCTGCCCTACTCCTGCCCGAGAGCCAGTGGAAGCTGTCTCTTGCCTTCCTGGACTGATTCAAAGCTGGATCACCCTTGAGTCCCATAGTCATGGGACTTAGTCCCAGGGTATGCTCCAGGGCTATGCCCCAGTGGTGGTGACAGAGGCCAAAGTAAATCCATCCCACCAAAGCACAAGTCTCTGCCTGATTCAAGAGCAAAATTGGAGACTGTGTTTGTGAGCACTGGCCTGGGCACAGAGGCATTTGGGCTTTATGTGCCACTAGGTCTCACTGCAGCAAACCCAGCTCCTAACTCCAATGCAAAGTCCTACTCACATTTCAGTCCTACTCCCCAGGCAGCTGGAGGCATGAAATGCTGCCTGCTGGGGATTGGAGGTAGGGTGGTGGAGGCAATCGCTTGGCTGTCCAACCTCACACTGAACTTGGTTACACCTGAGTCTCCCCACCTATGCTCAGAGTGTTAGCCGTGTCTGCATAGCGATAACAGTAACGTGAGCCATAATGAGCCCCTCCAACTGGGGCAAACCTAGGGGCTGCATCTTTGAGCAGTGGCCAGGGGCAGGGGCCACCTGTGCTCCAACAGTCATCGAGTGAGGACTTTCCAACTCTAGTGCTCCTCCCATAGCAACCAATTGGCTTTCAGTTATGAATAAGGTCTTCCTTATCCATCTGCCTGCCTGTCATCTATCTGTCTATACCGATCACTATTTATACAGGCTCAGAAAGCCCTACTTCTCATTGCTTTGCACACTGATTACATTTCTAAGTGACCCTGACATATTTCATTAAGTAAAATCCTACAGTAGCATCATTAAAACATGCATAATTGTGTGAACTTTGGGGTTACACCGTGTAGATCCAAACCCTTAGCCTACCACCTGCTGTCTTGGTGCCCTCGGACAGATTCCTGTAAGCCTCAGTTTTCTCAAGTGAAAAATGATTCCAGTAATAATACCTGCCTTACAGGCAGTTGAGGGTAGTGGAAAAGTGTGAGGGTAGATTCTTTCAAGTTTTAAAAGAAGAAGTGATATTTTGGCAATTGAAGCTTTTACAAAATAGAGAAGAACTATTACTCATCTCATCTCTTGCAACAAACCCAATCTTGTATATAACTGTGGCAAAATAAAAACACACATACATGACAGTGAAACTCAACACTGACAAATAAGAATACCAATTTTAAGAATACAGGTGTAGTGCTCCATCACAGTGGAGAGGGTTGCTATAGCAATTACTCAGCATCTCTAAGTCTCATGGTGCAGAAAAAATTCTCACGTCACCACATTTCATAGTTGTCTTGGCTGAACAAAACTAGCTGTTATGAGACTATTGAAGAGAGAGTGAAAACCACTGTTCCAAGCTTTACTCTGATGGAAGCTATTGGCTGTGGAGACATTATGTGGAGTCTTGAAGCATGAATAGGAAACTTGCAGGGGAGAAGAGGGGTGAAGGGAAGGAGAGTGGGCACTGGAGCAGAGAAACTAGTGACCTGAAATGCCTGTTTCTGTCCCGTCCTGCCTGTTTGCTTTTTAGTCAGACATATATTCTGGAGCTGTATTCATCCAACTGGCCTTGGGATTGGACCTTTACTTAGCAATCTTCATTCTCTTGTTTATCACTGCTGTTTACTCCATCACTGGTGAGTCTGTTGCATGTTTTGTTCAATTACGCCGCCTTCTGCTGACCACGCCCAGAACGACGACACCATTTCATTCCTACCATGGTGGTCACACACAGGGCCAGAAGCACAACTAGGAAGAATAAAGCAGGATCCTCAGTAATATATCAATTAACTCGCGAATGGCAAAGCATCCTTGAACCCCTTGAATATATCCCACTTGGTCGTGATCTTTTTGCTGTAGTGTTGAGTTTGGTTTGCTAATATTTTGGTGAGAATTTTTGCATCTGTGCTCATCAACAATATTTGTAGTTTTCTTTTCGTGTTGTGTCTTTGATTGGTTTTGGTATCAGAGTAACGCTGGCCTCATAAAAAGAGTTTGCCAAGGTTCCATCCTTTTTAATATTTTGGAATAGTTGAGAAGTGTTGGAGTTAGTTCCTCAACAACAAAACGAAGAACAAAATGTATGTGACCCTCTAAACAGGTGCCAAAGAAGCATTTGAAAAGATGCACCATCCTTTTATGATAAAAACAAACTAGGTATGGAAGGAAAATAATTCAAAATAATCAAGGCTGTAAATAACTAACCAGCAATCACTATAATACTAAATGGGGAGAAGCTGGAAGAATTTCCCCCCAGATCTGGACGTCCACATTCACCACTGCTATTCAATACAGTGCTGGAAGTGCTAGGAAGAGCAGTTATGGAACAGAAAGAAATAAAAGGAATCAAAGCTGGGACGGAGGAAGTCAGGAATGTCCATGTTTGCAGATGACGAGAATTTGTCTGTGGGAAAACCTGAGCACTCCACCAAAAAGCTATCAGAACTAATAGACCAATTTGGCAAAGTCACAGGATACAAAATTAGCTGACAAAAAGCAGCATCTTTAGGTACCAATAATGGTCTTACTGAAAGGGAAATTGAGAGGAAATCCCATTCACAATAGCTACCAAAAAATCAAATATTTAAAAAATTTTTTGAAATAATCTCTACAATGAAAATGATAAATTACTGATGAAAGAAATCGTCAAAGACACAAAAAATGAAAATATATTCCTTGCTCATGAACTGAAAAAATCAGTAGCATTAAAATGCCCATACTGGGACTGGCACTGTGGCACAGCAATGCTGGTGTCCCATGTAAGAGCCGGTTGAAGTCCTGGCTGCTCCACTTCTGATCTCACTCCCTGCCAATGTTCCTGGAAAAGCAATGGAAGATGACCCAAGTACTTGGGTCCCTCCCACTCTTGTGGAAAACCCAGATGGAGTTCCAGGATCCTGGCTTCAGCCTGGCTCAGCCCTAGCCACCACAGCCAACTGGGGAGTGAACCAGTGGACCTCTCTCTCTCTCTCTCTCTCTTTCTTTCTCTCTCTTTCCTTCTCTCTCTCTCTGCTTTTCAAATAAATATGTTTTAAAAGCCCATACTACAAAGGCAACCTACAGATTCAATACACTCCCTATCAAAATACCAATGACATTCTTTACAGAATTAGAAAAAGAGATCTCATTATTCATATGGAACTACAAAAGATTAAAAATAGCCAAAGTGATCCTGACCTAATAATAGTATTGATAAAACTGGAGGCATGACAGTATCTGAATTCAAGATATACTGCAAAGCTATAGTAATTAAAACAGCATAGTACTGGCATAAAAACTGACACTCTAATCAGTGGATCTGATTAGAGAACCCATAAATTAATCCATATACATACAGACAAATGTGCCAAGAACATACATTGGAGAAAGGATAATCTCCAATAAGTGGTGCTGGCAACGATATATATCTATAACTATATCTATAAATATAGATATAGATAATATATATGCATGAAATTGGATACCTGCCTCTCACCATATATAAGAATCAATTCAAGATGGATCAAATACCCAAATGTGAGACCTGAAATTCTAAAATTATAAGAAGAAAGCACAGGGGAAAGACATTGGTGTAGGCAATAATCTTTTTAAGACCCTGAAAGTAAGGGCAACAAAACACAGCTAGACAAATGGAATTATATCAAACTCAGAAGCTTCTGGATAGAAAAGGAAGCAATCAATAGAGTGAAGAGTGAAGAGACAGCCAACAGAATGTAGGAAAATATTTGTGAGTCACTTATCCAACAATGGATTAATATCCAGGATTTTTTTAAATTTATTTGACAGATAGAATTAGACAGTGAGAGAGAGACAGAGAAAAAGGTCTTCCTTTCTTTGGTTCACTCCCCAAATGGCTGCCATGGCTGGAGCTACACCAATCCGAAGCCAGGAGCTAGATGCTTCTTCCTGGTCTCCCATGTGGGTACAGGGACCCAACCACCTGGGCCATCCTCCACCGCCCTCCCGGGCCACAGCAGAGAGCTGGACTGGAAGAGGAGCAACCGGGACTAGGACCCAGTGCCCACATGGAATGCTGGCACCGCAGGTGGAGGATTAACCAAGTGAGCCATGGTGCCAGCCCCTAATATCCAGGATTTATCAGGAACTCCAAAAATCCAACAATCAAAAAAACAACCAATCTAGTTACAAAATGGATAAAGGATCTAAAGAGATGGTTCTCAGTAGAAGAAATACAAGTGACCAACAAATGTATAGATAAATGATCAATACCACTAGCCATCAGGGAAATGCAAATCAAAACCATAATGTCATCTCACCTCTCTTAGAATGGCTATTATTGGAAAGACAGAAAGTAACAAATGCTGGCTGGGATGTGAAGAAAGGGAAAGTCTTATAGACTGTTCAGAGGAATATAAAACAGCTGAGCTCTTTGGAAAAGAGTACAGAGATTTATTTTTTTTTTATCTTTTATTTAATGAATATAAATTTCCAAAGTACGACTCATGTGTTACAATGGCTTCCCCCCCCCATACCGTCCCTCCCACCCACAACCCTCCCCTTTCCCACTCCCTCTCCCCTTCCATTCACATCAAGATTCATTTTCGATTATCTTAATATACAGAAGATCAGCTTAGTATACCTTAAGTAAGTATTTCAACAGTTTGCTCCCACACAGAAACATAAAGTGAAAAATAATAGATGATTTTTTTTAAATGATGATGAAATCAGATCAGACCTATTGTCATGTTTAATCCCAGTGAGAGTCAAGTTGGGAATTGATAATTTCTTTTTTTTTTTTTTACAGAAGATCAGTTTAGTGTACATTAAGTAAAGATTTCAATCGTTTGCACCCCCATAGAAACACAAAGTGAAATATACTGTTTGAGTACTCGTTATAGCATTAAGCCTCAGTGTACAGCACGTTAAGGACAGAGATCCTACATGAGGAGTAAGTGCACAGTGACTCCTGTTGTTGACTTTACAAATTGACACTCCTGTTTATGGCATCAGTAATCTCCCTATGCACCAGTTATGAGTTTCCAAGGCTATGGAAGCCCCTTGAGTTCTCCGAAGAGTACAGAGATTTATTTAACAACAATAAATACAGCTATCTTATGATCCAGCAAGCTCACAGTTGGGTATGTATCCAACAGACATCAAATCATTATATCAAAGAGATATCTACTCCACCATGTTTATAGCAACACTGCTCACAATATCTCAAATGTGGAACCAACCAGGGTGCCAATCATCATATAAATGGATCAAGAAATTATGTAAACATACACAATGGAATATTATTCAGTCATATAAAAAGTGCAATCCTGTTATTATAGCAAAATGATTGGAATTGAAGGACATTTATGTTAAGTGAAACAGACATTTATGTTAAGTCAGATACAGAAAAACAATTACATTTTCTCCCTCATATGTAGAAGCTGAAAGTTTTCAATCTGAACACAGAAGGATGATTACTAGAGGCCTGGAGAGGTAGGGAAGTTAGAGGGAGCTGGATAATGGACATCAAGTCAGAGTTAGATCAAAGGAATAAATTCTTTCAGTTACACAGCATAGTAGGCAGACTATATATAGTTCACAGTAACCTCCTAGCCACTATATGAGAAGAAAGAAGCTCTACGCCTCCAATTAAAAAGTAATGTCAAGTCAGGGGAAATTGATTACCTGATTTGATCAGTACACACTGAATACATGCATTGGAGTGTCACATTGTAGCCATAACAAAAATTAATTTTTGAAAAATCTTAAAAAGAATCCTCAGTGATAAATGTGAGCATCTTGATTGAGGAAAATACTGCAGCAGGTGGGGCGGGAAACTGGTGATTTGGCTCAGCTGTGTGTTTGGAGCCAGATTGGGGTTTAAACATCAACATATCACACCAATGAAAGGTTGAGATAAAATAACAGCTCAGATAGAAGACAGGCAAGTCAAGGTGAACTCAAGTAAATACCAGGTGCCAGGGTGTGGCCGTGGCTATGAATGGCACCTTCAGGAGGTGAGAACTGGATCAGTGGGTCGGTTGTGGAGAGAAAGGGTGTAGCAACATTGCAAGGAGGCTCTCATAACCTAGATGTGTTGATGTAGCATCTCATGCACACTAACTTACGGAAATTGAACCATGTTGGCTGAGCTGGAAAAAATAAGTGAAAGCAACAGCTTGAACAACTGAGATGGTTCTGGAGACATGTTTGCACACCAAACGTGTTTCAGAATAAGTGGGAGATGAGCACATTCCACTTGCAGAGTAAGTCTTGTTCTCTCCGTGACACTGCTTAAAGGAAATATCTCACTGACTTAGATTAGCCTAGAATTGGAGAACAAGGTCTTCTTCATACCTCACTTTAGCAAAACACAAGTAAGTAGCCATAACTGGTATTCTATTAATGAAATGATCATATGTCCCAATACCAGAGCCACATGGTTTTGCTAGATTTGGGGTTGGGTGGGGGGAGTTGAGATTGCTAAGGAAAACTGTTGCAACCTGAGCATTTTGCCTTCCCCTTTCTCACTATTAAAAACTCACACTAAGATAGATGGACCTCCATATAATTCATAGAAACTGTGAATCAAGGCAAGACAAGGAAAATAGGAGAACCAATGAAACACGTAAGAACTAGGGAAAGGCGATGCCCAGAACAGCTCATGAATCAGCCAAGAGATCGCCATATGCACTCTGCTGAGCTAGTCCCATCATATGGGTGAAGCAGAGCAGAAAAGAGAAGGCAAACAGATGAGTACCCATAACCCACGTGCCCTGTTTCTGATCTCTCTCTCGACAGGCGGCTTGGCCTCAGTAATTTACACCGACACCCTCCAGGCTTTCATCATGCTGGTTGGCTCTTTCATTCTCATGGGGTTTGGTAAGTGGTAACAGCATGCCCAGTGCCCTGGTCCCATGAACCATCATATGCTCCACAATGGACAAAATCAGTAGCACTGGGTTGATGATCTTAGAGAATTATTGTTACATTGGATTCAAAGCACAGAAGCCTTTCATTTGGACAGAATTTCCATGAAATTAAAGATTAAATATTAGGGAAGGTTTAGATAACTGAATGTTAATTATCTAATCAGTCTTTATGATTGGTCTGAATGAATAGCCATTAAAATAGCACCTTATTCAATCTGTTGCTGGATGATGGTGTTAGTCTCTTTTCTGTTACTATACTGAAATGCCTGAGGCTGGACTACTTTCATAAAGGAAAACAAGCCTAAGTCATTGTTCTTGGGGTTCAAGGGCATGTTACTGTCATCAGCTGGGTTCTAGTGAAGCCCATTGGGCATGGCACCCAATGATGAGAATGTCTTCGAAGGAGAGAACACATTGCCAAATAGGAAGCTAGAATGAGCCTAAAGTTCCACAAACTCTTTGAGGGGTGCACCCACAATTGACCTCAGAACCTTCCACTGGATCCCGCCTCTTAAGGGTTCCACACTAACCCCACTCCCAGCATCACACTCCTGGGGACCAAGAGTCCAACGCATGAACCATTTGGGCACAATCTCAAGTCATACTGAAATCACAGCAAATACACAAATATAGGTTGGACTCTCACTTAATCTCATCAGTTAATTAATATCTTAATTAACTCATGCCAACAAGTAATATGGATTAATAAAATTTACAGCTTTCTCATCTTTCTTTCCTTTTCTTGTGCTATTTGTCTTTTTGTAGGTAACCCATGCACACAATAAAAAGGGTATGTGATGGAAAGAAACATCTCTTTCCTGTGCTCTAACACTTGAGTTTCACTGAATACAATAATCATAAAAACACGTACACCTAATCACAGAACTTGGATATATGAAGATACTTCAAAAGACCATGGGAAATGTTTTTAAAAGACATGTTTATTTTAGTGCAAAAAAATTTGAAATGCATTTATACAAACCACCTTCAAACCCTTTATGGAAAATGCATTTTATGAAAAAACGCTATGCTTAAATGTGAAGAAACTTTTGAACCAAAAGGACTTACTTTAATTCTATTTTCCTCAAACTTTTCAAAGTGTTCTCACACTCACCTCACGTGAGGCGAAATCCGAAAGATTTGCAAAACAAGAAATCCAGAGCGATAAGGCTTGAACATGGTATAGTTGCCAGTAGTTATTTGTGGATACCTAAGTTAAGTTAAAAAGTCAGGCCCTCATTTCCCATGTCCCTTGGTCAAGTCTGACCCATTGCCCTCAATTTCTGCTCCTCGTCATCCCAATCTTGAGTGGTCACATAAGCAGAACAGTGTGTTGCCCCTAAAAACCTGACTGTGCTCAGAACAACCAGGCTCTGACTTAGGAAGAGAGCCCATTGCTTCCTGTTCCTATCATAAAAGTTGGGACTTCTGATGGATGACTCCGTTAATCTCTGTGAGCAGAGCCCACCTTTATCTTTCTTTCTGATCAGGATGGGGGTACAATATCCATATTAGTCTTCTAGGTACCAGTTTCATTTTTAACAGAAGGCTAGGTGTCGAATCAAAAATTTTTTAAAGAGAACTACTAGAAGAAAAGTTGGAGTTTTTGCTTTAGGACTTCACACAAAACATCTTGTGTCAGGGTCTATGGCAGTGGAAGTAGTAGAAAGGCAGGAGTGGGGGGAGAAGGCAACTGGGGATCTGACCAGGTTGATGGGAGTGTTCGTGTAGCTCCACCACAAAGGAGTAACCACAAAGATCAAGAGTCTTTGATTTCTGGAGGCCAGTTCATTTTACCTGATGTCTTTGCAGCATTTGATGAAGTCGGAGGCTATGAGAGCTTTAAAGAAAAGTACATGAATGCCATTCCATCTGTCATCGAGGCAGAAAACCTGACCATTGACCCCAGCTGCTATACTCCTCCGGCAAACTCCTTCCACGTCTTCCGAGATCCTGTCTCTGGTGATGTTCCATGGCCAGGATTGATATTTGGAATGCCCATTGTAGCTGCATGGTACTGGTGCACAGACCAGGTGAGGGGTGTGTGTGTGTGTGTGTGTGTGTGTGAGAGAGAGAGAGAGAGAGAGAGAAAGAGAATTTGTTTACGTTGTTCTTTCTCATCTCATAGAAAACACATAGTTTTTATTGTATTTGTTCAACCTCCTCCAGTTTTTCTGCCTTTGTAGATGAAAATTAATTCAAATATCTTCTCTTTTTAATTTTTTAATATTCATTTGTATACCATTTGGATCATTTTTATTTTTGCTTGTTTGCTGATGTTTTCTTCTCCCTGGGTAGTCTCTGTCAATTTCAAGTTCATCATTTCACAATTCTTAGCCCATCTTGAACCTGTAGCCACAGTTTTATTTTTCCTCTATATCCTGAACTGACCTTCTCAATATATCTACCAAAATGTGTGTCATCTCACCATTGAGTTCTGGAAGCATATTTAGTATCTGTAGTTCATCTCTGATTCTGTAACTGGTATCACATTCGCCAGTAGATCAAGTCTCCGACCATGATGGCCTATTAACAGGGTCCCCCCTCAACCCCGGCCTGTTACTGCTGCTGTCCCTCCAACTTATTCTAGAGCTCTGTATAAAAATGCCAGTTGCTTCTCCAACCCTGAATGATCCCACTGATGTCCCTTGCAGATTGAGAATAAAAAAAAAAAAAGACATCTCTATTTTTGGACAGTCCTAGACCGAAAAAATAATAAGAAGGGGCATTATGAGTAGAAATCCTACTTTTCTAGAAATTTGTGAGTTAAGAAATTTCACAGTTTAGGTAGAAACATTGAAATTATGTGCATTTTTCCCAAGACTATTACATAACTATGAATGACTGGTGAAGAAATATAGGTGGCTAGCTCCCATATGTTATGTTACGTGATGTTCTAATGGATCCCTAACTATGGGGTGTCCGTGCCTAACTCAGTTTTTCAATAAGGCAACTGCCCTATCACAGCAGGGAAATGCTGATGATGTGAACAATATTCAAGACACAAGTTAAACACACAAGTGTGGGCATCATCTATGACAGCTTTGTACCTGGAAGAACACACTACCATCATTGCATAGTGCAGCCTGCTACAGTAACTAATGTGTATCAGCTTCTATACACCAACAGTCTTACACACGCTATGCCAGATGTTCAGACAGGCCCACAAGAGATAAACCTGTTTCAGAGATGAGAAATTTGAGACTCACAGAGATCAAACACTACGCAAAGAGTAAGGATTCCACTCCCAAAGCCCTTATTTTTATTTTTAAAAAGCATGACATCATTTCTTATTGTAACATTAAGCCAGGGCCAGCACTGTGGCACAGGGGGTTAAAGCCGCAGCCCGGCATCCCATATGCTCCACTTCTGATCCAGCTCCCTGCTAATGCGCCTGGGAAAACAGCAGAGGATGGCCCAAGTGCTTGGATCCCTGCACCCACGTGGGAGACCTGGAAGAGACTCCAGGCTCCTGGCTTCAGATTGGTTCAGCTCTGGCTGCTGCAGCCATTTGGGGAGCAAACCAGCAGATGGAAGACCTCTCTCTCTGTCTCTATCTCTCTCTGTAACTCTTTCAAATAAATAAAAATAAATCTTTTTTTTTTTTTTAATTTAGCCTTGAAAAGAGAAATCGTGCTCAGATCATTTCATGAGCATGTCTTGTTTTCCTGGCAGGTGACGGTGCAGCGCTGCCTGTCTGGCAAGGACATGTCTCACGTGAAAGCTGCCTGCATCATGTGTGGGTACCTGAAGCTACTGCCCTTGTTCCTCATGGTGATGCCCGGGATGATCAGCCGGATCCTGTACCCAGGCAAGTCGTGAACCTACACATCCTCTCTTTCATGCTTGAGGGCTGAGAAGCATCTTAAGATGCAGCAGAATCTTGTATGCTAGAAAACCTATGCTGGCCAGGAAATGAGAACCAAGTCCCAGGCAGAAGGAACAGCTGGTGCAGATGAACAGAGGTCTGGAAAAATTAGCACATCTGATGCTCCATTCCCTGATCACTCACACAGGCTGCCTGTCTCCTTGCAAGCACGTGAGTGTGAGGCCTGTTTTTGTCAGTGGCTCGGATTAAAGGAAGCCTAGACAGCAAGGTCGGAGGGTCCTGGAGGAGGACCTGGCAGAACTGGGCAAATCAGAAGTGGGTGAGCCATAGAAGTGGAGTGTGGTGGCTGAGATGCACTCGTTTCTCTTGGTCCCTAGGAGATGGGTGGAGAGCTGAATGTAAACACTGTGAAATTGGGCTATTTGAGCCACGTCCATTTCTGATTCCACTGAGAGTGGTCTCCTAGCATTAAACAAAAAATAAACTTTCTTTATTGTGAAAAGTGAAGGAAATACAATCTAGTATTTGTGGAATAATGGAGGATTCCTTTTTATTAGGGCAACCCAGCAGACAACACTGAGTCTGCTTCAAATCCCCTCAACGGAGCATCAGTGTTTTTCACTGTAATCTGGATGATCCTCAAGTGGTCAACACCACTTCATATTGCAGTATTTTTAAAGATTTATTTATTTATTTATTTGAAAGGCGGTGCTACAGAGAGGGAGAGAGACAGGGGCAGAGAGAGAAAGAGAGATCTTCCATCCTCCGGTTCACTCCCCAAATGGCCATGATGGCTGGGGCTGGGTCAGGCTGAAGCTAGGAGCTAGGAGCCAAAAACTCCATCCAGATATCTCACGTGGGTGCCGGAGCCAAGCACTTGGGCCATCTTCTGCTGCTTTCCCAGGTGCATTAGCAGGGAGCTGGATTGGAAGTGGAGCAGCCAGGACTCAAACTGATGCCCATATGGGATGCCACCATTGCAGGCAGCGGCTTAACCCCCACTACGCCACAGTGCTGGCCCCCAAAAAGACATTTCTTTGTGGGAAATTATCAGAAATGATTTTTTAAAAGAATACAATGTACTAAGGCATTGTTATTTCAGGTGATTCTTTGTCAAGTGTCCCTACTTGTGCTCATAACACCATTCAAGCAAAAAATTCCCAAAAGTTCTGTGCAATTGTTGCAAGAAGGGCCACCATCATCCATAGGGCAGTCACCCTAATCGATGGATCACTATCATGAGTGACACTTTGTCACTGATGTATGTGGAAACTGTTAGGCCGGATATGCCTGGACATACATTCAAATTTCCTGTGGTGGTGGTGATTCTCGTTTTTGTTTATCTTTGGAGTTCTGTGCTCCTGGGAGAATTTATGCTTTTGTCATGTTTCTGGAGCATAAGCTCACCTCCCTTTGTTTGCTGTAATGCTGTACATGGGCCACACCCCAAAGGAAAGCCCTGCCCCTTGAGTCGGTGCCAGAGGAGCTAGGGGGTACAAGACACTTTTAGAAGGTCATGTTCTAGAAAAAGAGGGACCAGTGGCATGGTATGGCATTCAAGGTTGAATTTCTAATTTCCAGGTAAATGTCCTTCCTCCTGCCCAAGATGTTATAGCTTATCTCTCTGTCCAAGGGCTATTGGTTGTTGAGATCTGCTCATTGAACTCATGTCTGAATCCTTCCTCAGATACTGTGGCATGTGTTGTACCTTCTGAATGTATAAAACACTGTGGCGTTGACGTCAGCTGCACTAACTATGCCTACCCAACACTGGTACTGGAACTGATGCCCGCTGGTAAGAAAATCTCCAAGCTAGAATAGCTTTGGAGGGTTGGTTTATAGTTCATCCGTGAGAATGGGCTGTGGCATAATCCTTGGTAATTCTTACTTCTGTTAATTCTTCTGCTCATCAGACATTTCTTCTTTTATTTTTTTTTCATTCATTCACTTGCAAAGATTTTTCTCTTTTTTCATTTTTGAGATAACACATTTTTAATTTCCATTATAATCAAAGTTTCAACACTCCACTAAATAAAGAGTTCAAAAAATAAAAAGTAAAAAGTAGGTGAGGGCTATAAACAATAATAAAATGAAAAAATGTTCAACTTGTATAAAGTAAATTTTAAAATAGTCACAAAATCATTAAAACTATAACAGTATATAATTCTTAGCAATTTGTTTGATAATGATTTAAAAAAAAGTTTGACAAAACACTGTATTTGACGCAAAACAGATACACACAGTCATTTCTGTCTCTTTTTATTTGCTTTGTTTCTTTTTTATTTTTTATTTTAGCTCCCATATATAAGGAAAAACATGCAGTGTTTGTCTTACTGTGTCTGGCTTAGCTCACTCAACTTGATGCCCACCAATTCCAACCATTTTGATGCAAATGATAGAATTTCATTCTTTTTTATTGATGGGTAATATTCCATTCGTCTGACGATGGCCACCTTGGTTGGTTCTGTATTTCAGCTATTGGGAGTGATGTTGCTGTGAATATTATGGGGCAGGTATCTCCTTGATACAGGAGTTCACGTCTTTGGTGTATACACCCAGTAGTGAGATTGCTGGATCATGTGGCAGCATGATCTAGTTCTTAAAGAAATCTCCACACTGTTTTCCATGGTGGCTGCACTAATTGACATTCCCACAAACACTGTACCGGAGCTCCCCTTTCTCCACATCCTCACCAGCATTTGCTGCTGTCTTGTACAGTGACTCATCTGCCGGGGGTGAGGTGATCTCTCATTGTGGTTTTGATTTGCATTTCCCTGATACCTACCGATACTGAGCATTTTTCTCATATTTTTTTGGCCATTTGTGTTTCTTCTTTTGAGAACCTTCTGTTCGAGTTATTTGCCCATTTTCTTAACCGTATTTGTTATTTTGTTCTTGTTGTTGGGTTTTTTGAGTTGCTGACTTATTCTAGATGTGAAGCCTTTGTTGGATAAGTAGCTTACACGTATTTTTTTCTCATTCTGTCAGCTGTCTCTTCACTCTATTGATTGCTTCCTTTGTTGTGCAAAAGCTTCTGCGTTTGAAATCACCCCATTTGTTTAGTCTTGTTTTTGTTGCTTGTGCATTGTGCAAGAAGTCATTACCTACATTGATGTCTTGGATTGTGTCCACTACATTTTCTTCTAGCATGTCTCACATCTTAAATTTAGGTTTTTGATCCTCATTGAATTGATTTTTGTGTGTGGTGAGACATGGGGAGCGAATTTCATTTATGTAAATTTATATAAATATACACACACATCCATTTTTGCCAGCACCATTTATTGAAGAGGTTATCCTTTCTCCAGCGTATAGTCTGGGCACTTTTGTCAAAAAATCAAATGGTGGCATGTATGTGGATGAATTTATGGGCTCTTCACTCTGTTCTGATGATCTATATGTTGGTTTTTATGCCAGTAGTTTGCTGTTTTAGTTAGTATAGTATGCTTTGAAGTCAGGCATCATGATGGCTCCAAGCTTGTTTTTTTGTTTTCTTGTTTGTTTGTCTTTGCTCTAGATCACTTTGGCTATTCCAGGACTTTTGTGATTCCATATGAATTTCAGGATTTTTTCCTAATGCTGTAAAGAATTACATTGGTATTTTGGTAGGGGTTGCATTGAATCTATAGATTGCTTTTGGAAGTATAGACATTTTAATTACCAGACATTTCTTGAGTACCTTCCATAGGCTGCCATCCCTGTGGTAGGCCTGGAGATTTCAGAAATGAAGAGTTTCCGTTAGGGGAACCCCTGCTCTTTCAGACTCAACACTGCTTTCCAAGGCAGTCAAGAACATTCAAAGACTACTTGCCAGCAAAAAATAATTCTACAAATTTAAAAATTCAGAGGACTTGAGGTTAACTCTTCATCCTGTGTTTCTTGGGACTAGTGATACTGGAATAGATTTCAACCCATGTCACTTACAAACACTTGTCAAGCACCTGCTACGCCCCAGGTCGTGCCTTGGTGCTCAGAACACATCAGTAAAACAGACACAAAGACTTGTCCCCTTTGGGACTCACATTTGAGTTTCATGAGATAGAAAATAAACCTTACATTCAAAACAAGTAAACTGTTAGGCTATCAGATGGTCATTTTTTTTTTTTTTACTGTTATAATGATTGCAAGTAAACACTGATTGTTAATCCCCAAAACATGTCCAATGTTTGGTCAGAAGGTGATGCTGTGGTGAATAAAACCGAGCAGGTCCCAGGTCTTGGAAGTGACCAGGTAACCTTGTACTTGGTGACCTTTCTCTCCCTGGCACACAGGAGTGTTTGCAGGATAAAGGACACATGATCCCCTGTCTACCCCATCCTACTCTGCCCTGGGAGGCTTAGAGCCATTACAAATGCACAGAGGGAACCAGAGCGTGAAGCCCCCACAGCGGTCCAAACCCTCGGCTTTTCTCCCCCAAGGCTTTACGGCAGCACCCCTTACCGAGCTGCTTTCTCTCCAGTCCTTTCGGGAAGCCAGGAGTCCTTCCCCCAAAGAAAGACGGCATGGCACCGCTTCCTCTCTTAGAAAACTAGGCGCCAGCAAATGAGCTCTATGTTTATATATTTGTAAAAGATTTATGTTTTATTTATTTGAAAGACATTGTTACAGAGAGAGGTAGAGCCAGAGAGAGAGACAGAGAGGTCTTCCATCCACTGGTTCACTCCCCAAATGACTGCAACAGCCAGAGCTGAGCTTATCTGAAGCCAGGAGCCAGGAGCTTTTTCCAAGTGTCCCACGCGGGTGCAGGGGCCTAAGGACTTGGGCCATCTTCCACTGCTTTCCCAGGCCATAGCAGAGAGCTGGATCGGAAGTGGAGCAGTCAGGACTCGAACCAGCGCCCATAAGGGATGCCGGCACTGCAGGCCAGGGCATTAACCTGCTGCGCCACAGCACTGGCCCCTTTGTTTATATTTAAGACTAGAATTCTACACCAAGTTATTCTCAGGTCACCAGGAAACTCCACATGCAGATATATTGTTGTTTTTTCCTTTTATTTTTTTTAAGATTTATTTTATTTATTTGAGAGGCAGAGCTACAGAGAGAGAGACAGAGAGAAGTCTTCCATCCACCGGTTTGCTCCCCAGATGGCCATAATAGCTAGGGCTGGGTTGACCCAAAGCCAGGAGCTTCTTCCAGGTCTCCCATGGTGGTGCAAGGGCCCAAGCACTTGGGTCATCTTCCACTGCTCTCCCAGGCCATAAGCAGGGAGCTGGATCACAACTAGGACTCAAACCAGGGTCCATAAGGCACCGAGGCAAAGGCATAACCTATTATGCCACAGCACTGGCCTCCACAGATGTGTTTTAATGAGGACATCGGTTAATCAATGTTTGGGTCAGAATGGTTAGTTCTGAAGCACTCCCTCGTTCTGCAAGGTCCTCACGGGTCATGCCGTCCGGCCCCTAACCAGTGTGCTCTCGCCCCTCTTCCGGCCCCAGGGCTGCGGGGCCTGATGCTGTCGGCCATGCTGGCGTCTCTCATGAGCTCCCTGACCTCCATCTTCAACAGCTCCAGCGCCCTCTTCACTGTGGACATCTACACCAAGATCCGGAAGCGGGCGTCCGAAAAAGAGCTCCTGATAGCCGGGCGGTGAGCGCTTCTGCTTTCTAACGACTTCTTCCGCGGAGGTGGGCGGAACCTGAAGCTCGCTTGCTTTTTAGCTTTGCAGAAAGTGATCAGAGCTTTCCAGAGCAGAAGGCGGGAGGGGCACTAGAGGACATGGAATGCAACTTCCCAAGGCCCTAATTTTAAGTGAAATAGTTGCCTTCTCGGACTTTCGAAAGCCTCCTATTACAATCCCCCCCTCTCGTCTTCAATCACTCCCTCGGTGTTTTCATACAGTGCCCACCTACCCTGCTAGGTTAATGCATTGTCATTAAAAGTTTCCATGCGTGTTGCCGGCGGGTGATAGGGTAAGGCATCCACATACTAACATATGGGAATTTATCCACTGCATTTATGAAGATTTGGCTGTAACAGTAAGATATCTGTGTTTCTGTGATAGAAAAAATGCTGACTGGAATTCAAAGGCTTAAAATGCAATAGCCCCAGCCGGCGCCGCGGCTCACTAGGCTAATCCTCCACCTTGCGGCGCCGGCACACCAGGTTCTAGTCCCGGTCGGGGCGCCGGATTCTGTCCTGGTTGCCCCTCTTCCAGGCCAGCTCTCTGCTGTGGCCAGGGAGTGCAGTGGAGGATGGACCAAGTGCTTGGGAGACCAGGAGAAGCACCTGGCTCCTGCCATCGGATCAGTGCGGTGCGCCGGCCACAGAGCGCCAGCCGCGACCGCCATTGGAGGGTGAACCAACGGCAAAGGAAGACCTTTCTCTCTGTCTCTCTCTCTCACTGTCCACTCTGCCTGTCAAAAAAAAAAAAAAAAAAAGGCAATAACCCCGGGGGCTGCTGTGGCGCAGCAGGTTAAAGCCCTGGCCTGAAGCGCGGGCATCCTATATGGACGCCGGTCTGAGTCCTGGCTGCTCCTCTTCCGATCCAGCTCTCTGCTGTGGCCTGAGATAGCAGTGGAAGATGGCCCAGGTCCTTGGGCCCCAGCACCCACGTGGGGGACCAGGAGGAGTCTCCTGGCTCCTGGCTTCAGATGGGTGCAGTTCTGGCCGTTGTGGCCATCTGGGGAGTGAACCAGCAGATGGGAGACCTCTCTCTCTGTCTGTACCTCTCTGTGTAACTCTGTCTTTCAAATAAATAAAATACATAATAAAAAAAAAAGCAATAGCCCCACTATTAGACTCATGATCCTCAGCATAAACCCTCTTTATGTCTCAAAGAAAATTAATAACTTTCTTCCCAAAAGCACAACTATTTTTTAAAAATATATACCTATTGTAATTCCTGCTTTGTGGAATTTGTGCTTTTGTAGAAAGATGAGCGATTAGCACGCGTATGCCACATCGGATGGACCGGACGTGCTAGGAAGACACTGGAACCAGAATGCAAAGATGACAGTGACTTAATCCAGGTGCTCAGTGTGTCCCCTCCTCTGAGGAGGTGGCATCTGAGCCGGTCCTGCAGGGAGCCCTCTGGGGGAGGAGCAGTCAGTGCCAACTTTCTCCAGCAGTCACGTGTGTGGTGTCTTTGAGGGCCGCAGAGAATGAGGTTGGCACGTGCGGAGCAAGAGGGAGAGTGATAAGAAGGTCGGGAAGGGAGTGTTGGAGCCGTGAGGAGACTTTGGAGTTTATGCTACTGTGGTAGAAAGCAGTTACAGCACAAGAGAGCATGACTGGCTTCCCAGTGATAACAAGGATGATGACGGGTGTAATTAATGGAATCTTTACTGTGTTTTGGCCTTTGTGCTAAGCCTGTACACATTTATTGCATTTCACTGTTATGAGGCTGCCTCCGATTTCCAAAGTTTAAGTGAGACTATCGTGCCTGGTTTCCTGCCCAATGCTGGCTCCTCCCTCCGTGCCATAAGAACTTCCTAGGTGAACAGGGCGATGCTAACCTTCTATGCCCAGCCAACTCGACTCTATTTGTTCATTTAGTCACATGACAAACACAGAAGGGATTTAGAAAAGTCAGTCACGTTCCTGGACCTCACAAGTTCCTAATCTATTTTTACCGCTTGCTAATATTTTAACCGATTCTACCAGCCAGAGTGTGTTCAAATAGTAAAATGCACAAAGTAGCACTTTTTTTTTTTTTGCCAACACACTCAACCTTCTAGGATAAACAGAAGCTTTTTAATCTCTGCAAACTGATTTAATTTCCCTCGAGATAGGAATCTGCTGTCTTTCCCATACAAATAGCTGTTGATCAATGGAAAATAGTATGGCGTTTACTTCTAATTGATATATGGGTACATTAGAAAATTATTAATCAGTTGTTGACATTTGAACTGTTCCTGTGAGTGCATATTTAATCTCCTGGGGAGGGTCTAATGAGTACTTCTAAAGAAGCAATCACTGTATTGGCAAGAGATAATCATCAAACATGACATGGGTTCATGGCAGATCAGGGAACCCAATTTCATTTAGAAAAGTGGTGAGTAGCACAACTAATGGATTCACAAACAAAAGCCCAACGGAGGGGCCTCTAATGTTTTTGTCTAACATTGAAATCACTTTGTTTTCTGACCAGGTTATTTGTCATCCTATTAATTATCATCAGTATCCTGTGGGTCCCATTAGTAGAGGTATTTCGAAGTGGCCAATTAATCCATTACACAGAATCAATTTCTAGCTACCTTGGGCCTCCAATTGCGGCTGTCTTTCTGCTTGCCATCTTCTGTAAGAGAGTCAATGAACAGGTAAGGGGAACGGAGACCTTCTTTTCCCCTGCTGGAATGAGAAAACCAGTATTTCTCTCACTAGGGTATCAAAATTCACTCTTTCTGCCCTACTTATACAACTCCAGATCCTTCTTGCTTTCAGTCATTGTCAGCCGTGATTCCTGATCCTTACCAAAATACAAAAATATGTGCATTCTTTCAACATACATTTTCCACAGAACGTGAGGTACCTCTGTGGCGTAGTACTGAGGAGCATGATTTGGGAGACAATACGACTCTTACCACCTGGTGGTGTTATCATCTGAAGCAAATTCTGTGACTCTCTTTAAAATGAACATCAGAATTCTGCCCACCCTAGGTGTTGCTATGAGAATAAAAGAAGATAAAATATGTAGTATTCATAGAAGAAAACTTACCATAGACATATTCAAAATAGGTTAATTACTGTGCAGCTACATAGTTGATTGACTTTTGTAGACTGTGTACATTTAATCAATCTCTTAACTGCCGTAGGTGTTAGCCTCACTATTATGATTTTCAGATAAGGAATAAGTGCAAAGAGGTTAATATCCACATGCTAATAATAAGTGGTGGTCTCGGGACTCACATTCAGGCCTCCCTTCATTCAAAGCTCACACTTTTTCACCACGCAATACTACTTTCCTAAAACTTAACATCTGGAACCTGGAAAGGAGGGGCAAATGTTTGCACCCCCATCAACCTCTCAGAGGAAACAGATGCTTCTAATTGTCAAGAGTGTAGCAGACTTCTCAAAACCATGTCTGATCAGTTGTGCAAACTGAATGTAAGTCAAAATCCTGTTTAACGCTACCGAACAAGTTTGTGAATATATCAATAAAATAAAGTGAAGGAAAACTCCCCCCTTAAGTCCGTATAGAAAGTAGAATTCTGGAGAATCAATAATGCAATGTGTTTCAGGGCAATGGAAAGCAACGCCTGACTAACCAGCACATACAAGACTGCATTAGTGCAACTCTTTTGTCTTTGTAGTTGAATACCCAAGAGAAACTTCTTGGGAAAGGCCCACAGCCTACAGTTTGAGGGCTAAAGTCTGCTGTCTGATGGAAGGTGGTGATCCAGGGAGCAGAGAGGGAGACCAGGCAGAATTTGAACTCAACCAATCAAATTTCACGAGAGCCACCCTCTGGTGACATGCCTCCAGTGGCCTCAAAACCTACCAGCAACCCGAGCTCCTAGCCACCACAATTAGATCAAATCCCCACCCTTAATCCATCATGCAGTGAGTGTCAGTGTTTAACCATCTGAGTGAATGTTAGGGAGACAAATCCTGCTGAGTGCCTAACAAAGGGTCTTGAAAAGGTTATGCAAGACTTTCAAAACTTTTTTTTTTTTGCACCAAAAGGCACTTATCTTCTCATTCTCATTTCCCCCTGAATTTGATGTACCCTCAATATTTGCAACTTGGAAGCTTAACCTCTTGCTCAATGCTAGCCACCTTTTTTTTTTCTTAGTTGAGAAACCAGACAGGATGCTAATTACGATTTACTCAAATGAGCCGCTCATCTTTGCTAAACACTCTGCTCTTGTGTTTGTTTGTCTGTTTGTTTGTTTTTCAGGGTGCATTCTGGGGTCTAATGATTGGATTGGTGATGGGCCTTATTCGAATGATCGCAGAATTTGCGTACGGAACAGGAAGTTGCCTGGCTCCCAGCAGCTGTCCGTATATTATCTGTGGAGTACACTACCTGTACTTTGCCATCATTCTCTTTGTTGTGTGCACAGCGGTCATCCTGGGAGTTTCCTTCTTAACAAAACCTATCCCCGATGTACACGTGAGTAATGGGTAGCAGGTATACGTTTGCATTCCAAAGCTGCCGCTAATACATATTTGGGTGGATGCATTTTACCACCAGAGCTAGGAGACCCCTGAGAGATTATTGTCCAATCTATACACTGTACAACAGTTTGCAACTGGTATGTGCAAAGCACTAGTAAATTAAGAAGTAAGACATTAGAAAGTAGGCTGCAGACTCAAAACACTTCACATGCAGCTGGGCGGTCAATCTATGTCATTGTTTTTAAACATAATCTACCTCATTTAGTTGCTATATATTATTATTAGATTTTATTTATTTATTTTTATTAGATTTTGTTTTAATATTTTATCAGATTTTATTTATTTATTTTAAAGTCAGAAGTACAGATAGAGGGAGGGAGAGAGATGGGGAAGAGAGAGAGAGAGGGAGAGAGAGAATGAAACACAGAGAGAGAAAGAGAGAGAGATCTTCCATCTGCTGGCTCACTCCCCAAATGGCTATAAGGGCCAGGGCTGGGCCAGGCAGAAGCCATAGCCAGGAGCTTCTACTTGGTCTCCCATGTGGGTGCAGCAGCCCATGTACTTAAGTGAGCCATGTTCAGCTGCCTTCCCAGGTGCATTAGCAGGGAGCTGGATTGCAACTGGAGCAGCCAGGACTTGAACCAGCGCCCAGATGGGATGCTGGCACTGCAGGTAGAGACTTAACCTTCTATGCCACAGAACCGGCCCTGGGTAATTAGTGTTGCCCAAGAGGCTGGGAAGCACCTCAGAGCTTAGCTGTCATCTGGGCAGAAACTGCTCAGGGCGAAAAGAATTTCACACACAGCATTAACACTGACTCAGAGATTTTTAAGAAGCACATAGTAACAGGGCAAGACAAGGAAAAGTACAGTGAGATACATTTTTTTTACCTTTGAAATTGGAAAAAATGTTTAATGTGAATAACAGCCAGTGTTGGTGAGGATGTAGGCAAATGCTCACAGTCCAGAACTGTGGGCAGATTTTATAATTTCCAGGATGGCAATGTGACGGTAGCTATTAATTTTTAAATTCTCATACCTTATGAGTAAATAATCCTGTTAGTAGGTCTTATCGTGTGGAATCACTTTACAAGTAGGAAAACTATATAAGAATTTTCATATGCAAACACTTTCTAATAGAAAAAAGTAGAAGATAGTGGACAAACCGAATTTCCACTACAAAGGAAATGAGAAAATAATAATAGTACATGGGTTATTATATAGCTGTTTAAAAACATGGAAAATAATTCTATGATTCATTCTGGAAATATCCATAATCTGATTTGGTAGGAAAAAATGTGCAGAATATTCTCATTTTTGGAAATAACATATATGTAGTTATATATTTATATATACATATGTTTGACTAAATGTAGACAAAAAAATACACACACATCTGAAATTTTCAACAAAAATTATCTCAGGGTGGAAGGATACCAGAGAGGCCAGCAAATAGTAATTATTTTTGTTAAGATTTTATTTATTTTTAAAGGTAGAGTTACAGACAGTGAGAGGGAGAGACAGAGAGAAAGGTCTTCCACCATCTGGTTCACTCCCCAAATGGCTGCAATGGCCAGAGCACTAGGATTAACCTAGTGCGCCACGGCACTGGCCCCATAATTATTTTTTAAATATAAATACTTCTGGGGCTGGTACTGTGGCACAATAGATTAATTCTCTGCCTGCGCTGCTGGCATCCCATATGGGCACCCGTTCTAGTCCAGGCTGCCCCTCTTCCTATCCAGCTTTCTGCTGTGGCCTGGGAAAAGCAGTAGAGGATGGCTCAAGCACTTGAGCCCTGCATCCGTATGGGAGACTTGGAAGAAGCTCCTGGCTCCTGGCTTTAGATCAGCCCAGCTCTGGCCGTTGCAGTCATTTGGGGAGTGAACCAGCAGGTAGAAGACCTTTCTCTCTGTATCCCCCTCTCACTGTCTGTAACTCTACCTCTCAAATAAAGAATCTTTTTAAAAATATGTAAATAATTTTTATGTATCAATATTATCTGAATTATTACTAACCTGTATAGCCTTTATTCTTTTTTCATTCATCACTCTTAATCTTTGAAGCAAAATTCACTTGCCTATTTCCCTGGGCAGTGGTCAGAATATTATATATTCTGAGAAATACATATTATGTATTTCATATTATATATTTCTTATATTATGAGAAAGTCACAGGTCTAACTAAAATGAGGCATGGTTTTGCAAATAGGATGGAACCTAAGTTTACAAACACATTGGTATTCAGAGCAGCTTTCTTAGAATGACCCAGGATGGGTATTTATTCCCTGCATCCAATCACATGTTTTGGATCTACAGCCAAAGGGCTGGGAAATTACATGAGAACACAATTTGCCATTTACTTTCACATTCCTAAATCTACATGCAGGCTAATTATATTTACAGACCACAATTAAAAGCCTATAAAACCCAACAATTCAAAGGTGTGATGTAACCGACAAAAGTCTGGAGATGGAAGAGGACAGAGATGGGTAGGGAATTGCAGTTGGAACTCAAGAATAGAACGTTGAAACTGTCTAAACTTGATGGTTCTGGAAATAGAAGTTAGGAAGATAGTGGAAAAGTGACCACTCACTGCTGGACATTTGAAAGTCTTGATCAGCCAGCGCCATGGCTCAATAGGCTAATCCTCTGCCTGTGGCACCAGCACCCCAGGTTCTAGTCCCAGTCGGGGCGCTGGATTCTGTCCTGGTTGCCCCTCTCCCAGTCCAGCTCTCTGCTGTGGCCAGGGAGTGCAGTGGAGGATGGCCCAAGTGCTTGGGCCCTGCACTCCATGGGAGACCAGGAGAAGCACCTGGCTCCTGGCTTTGGATCAGCACGGTGCACTGGCCGCAGCACGCCGGCCGCAGTGGCCATTGGAGGGTGAACCAACAGTAAAGGAAGACCTTTCTCTCTGTCTCTCTCTCTCTCACTGTCCACTCTGCCTGTCAAAAAAAAAAAAAAAAAGTCATGATGATGTAGCCAATAGCATCTGGATAAGGAAAAGCAAGAACTCATGTATAGTGTGGGTTAATTACATCTTTTTTTTTAAAGATTATTTTTATTTATTTGAAAGAATTACAGAGAGAGGTAGAGCCAGAGAGAGAAAGGTCTTCCATCTGTTGGTTCACTCCCCAGATGGCCACAACAGCCGGAGCTGAACCGATCTGAAGCCAGGACCCAGGAGCATCTTCTGGGTCTCCCGCATGGGTGCAGGGGCCCAAGCACTTGGGCCATCTTCTACTGCTTTTCCAGGCCATAGCAGAGAGCTGGATTGGAAATGGAGCAGCCAGGACTCGAACCAGCTTCCATCCATATGGGATGCCAGCACTGCATGCCAGGGCTTTAACCCACTGCGCCACAGCGCCAGGCTCTAATTACATCTTTGACTTCAGAAATTGTGAATCTACTGAAAGAGCCTCAAGGAGATTCTTTACAGTTGTCAATGGCTATCAGAAAATTTAAAGTGGGAATCATTTTAAATAGTGTGTTTGGATGAGGGAATGAGGTAGGAGACCTTTTTTGTCCTTTTGATCTACACTCTTGTATGGTTTGATTATTTTCAACCATACAATAAACAAAGGGCCCCCTGGATTAGCATAAACGTTTGCCATCACTAATGTGCTTGTGTGTGGTCTCTGGTCAGCTGCATCGCTTGTGTTGGGCTCTGCGGAACAGTACCGAGGAACGAATTGATTTGGATGCAGGAGAGGAAAGGCAAGAAGAATTTGATGAAGATTCTGAAGAAGGTAACATAGGAACTCTCTGGGCATGGCTTTTCTTAGGGGTAGTTCTTCCAACGCTGCTAAATCTGGTTTATTATAAAGCTGTTAGATGTATAGCAAACTAAAACTTTAAAAATCTTAAAATCTTCTCAGTAGCCAAGACAACATGTTTGATGATTTGTTTGTTTGCATGCTTGTTTGAAAGGCAGAGGGACAGAGTGGGGCTGGGGAGAGAGATTTTCCATCTGCTGGTTCACTTCCCAGATGGCCACAATGGCTGGGGCTGGTCCAGACCAAAGCCAGGAGCCCAGAACCCCACCTGGTCTTCCACGTGGGTGGCAGCGGCTCAGATATTGGAACCATCTGCTGCTGCCTTCTCAGGCATGTACATTAGCAGGAAGCTGGGAGAGAAACAGAGCAACTAGACTCAAACCAGCTCTCTGATCTGGGATGCTGACACCCAATGCCAGCACCGACCTCAACTTTTTACGTATGAAATCCAGCCATTCATCTGCCTGTCGCCCGTCATCCACCCATGAAACTGCAAACCAGTCTCTGAGATGTCACAAACTCACTCACTTCTGTTTCTGGCTATAAGAAGGATTCAACAAATCAGCCTCAACAGCTGTGCCACACTCCTTCCTCTCTTTTCTTCTTCCTTGCTGTTCTCATTTGTATACTCTTCCACTAACATAACCTGGCTTTATTCCATTGTGGCTTTTTTTCCCTCTAACTTAAGTTCAATACTCACTAATCCCCAGCCTCTCTTCTTTTCCAATGGAAATAACTAAGCCCATAGACATGTTCCCCAGAGTAATGTCTCATTGCGTCTCACAGATTTTCATGTGTGTAATTTTTAAAAAAAAGATTTATTTTATTTATTTGAAACAGAGTTACAGAGAGAGGTAGAGACAGAGAGAGAGAAAAGTCTTCCATCTGTTGGTTCACTCCCCAGACAGCCGCAATGGCCAGAGCTGCGCCAATCTGAAGCCAGGAGCCAGGAGCTTCCTCCAGGTCATCCATGTGGGTGCAGGGGCCCAAGGACTTGGACCATCCTTCACTACTCTCCCAGGCCATAGCAGAGAGCTGGATCAGATGAGGAGCAGCCAGGACTAGAACCAGCGCCCATATGGGATGCAAGTTCTTCAGACCAGGGCTTTAACCACTACACCACAGCGCTGGCCTCCATGTGTGTGATTTTTATAACCATTTATTTCCAAGTGCAATCTTACTTTCACTATGGCTTCTCATAGATACTTTAGCTTAGAACTATGCTTTAAATCTCCCACTGCTACATTAAATAGCCCTCTACATTGTCCATATGTCTGTCTGTATTTTTTTGCCTATATAATTTTTATAAAGATTTATTTTATTTATTTGAATGGCAGAGTTACAGAGAGAGATAGAGACAGAGAGGTCCTCCATCCACTGGTTCACTCCCCAGATGGCTGCAATGGCCAGAGCTGCCTCGATCTGAGGCCAGGAGCCAGGAGCTTCTTCTGGGTCTCCCCTGTGGTGCAGGGGCCCAAGGACTTGGGTCATCTTCCACTGTTTTCCCAGGCCACAGCAAAGAGCTGGATCAGAAGAGGAGCAGCCGGGACAAGAGCTAGCACCCACATGGGATGCCGGAGCTTCAGGCCAGGGCATTAACCCACTGCGCCACAGCGACAGCCCCGCCAATATAATTTTTTTAAGGTGTATTTTACTTATTTGAAAGAGTTACACAGAGGCAGAGGCTTAGAGAGAAAGAGAGACAGAGAGATAGAGAAAGAAAGAAGTCTTCCATCCACTGGTTCACTCCCCCAGGTGGCTGCAGCAGCTTGAACTGTGTCTGATCTGAAGCCAGGAACCAAAATTTTCTTTCCATGCCTCTCACGCAGGTGCACGGGCCTAAGCACTTGGGCCATCTTCTACTGCTTTCCCAGGCCATAGCAGAGAGCTGGATCGGAAGTGGAGCAGCCAGGACTAGAACTGGCACCAAAAGGGATGCAGACACTGCAGGCAGTGGCTTCACCCAGTCTGCCACAACACTGGCCTCGCCTATATACTTTTGGCATAGATTGCAAGGCATTTGATTGTTGAGTACATGGGTTAATGCCTATGCAATATTGCTTTATACTCCAAATCCCCCTCCACAGGAGCCAAATCATGCTTTCCTACCAACAATGTGTGTGAGTTGATATTTCCACATGGACTCACTAATGTAGTGGGTTGAGAACCTTTTGATCTTTTGCTACAGAAGTCATAGCTCTGTGAGCTCAAAAACCATGTGTTAGAATGGCCCTTTGGGGCCGGCACTGTGGCACAACAGGTTAACGCCCTGGCCTGAAGCGCCAGCATCCCATATGGGCGTCAGTTCAAGACCCGGCTGCTCCACTTCCGATCCAGGTCTCTGCTGTGGCCTGGGAAAGCAGTAGAAGATGGCCCAAGTGCTTGGGCCCCTGCACCCACGTGGGAGACCCAGAAGAAGCTCCTGGCTCCTGGCTTCAGATAGGCACAGCTCCAGCCATTGTGGCCAACTAGGGAGTGAACCAATGGATGGTGGAAGACTTTCTCTCTCTCTCTCTCTCTCTCTCTCTCTCTCTCTCTCTCTCTTTGCCTCTCCTCTCTCTGTGTAACTCTGACTAGCAATGAAGATGCCCACCTCCCATATCGGAGTGCCTGGGACTGCTCCCAATTCTGGCTTCCTGCCAGTGCAGACTCTGGGAGGCAGCAGTGGTGGTTCACACGTGGGAGACCTGGATTGAGTTCCCAGCTTGTGGCTTCATCCTGGCCCAGCCCCAGCTGTTGCAGGCATTTAGGGAGTGAACCAATGCTTGAGAGTGCTCTGTCTGCCTCATAAATAAATCTTTAAGCCATTTGTCTTTTTTCTTTAAACTGTTCATTCGTCCTTCTAGAATGTTTACATGGGTCTGTTGGTCTTCTCTGTTTTTGGAAACCCATTATATGATAAGGATATTAAAAGCCCCTCATGATATAATATGCAAACATCTGCCCCATTTTTCACTTGCTTTTAGTTTGTGTTATTGGTCTTTATGCCCTGCAAAAGCTTTCTATTTTTATGTAAAGCTCAATTTATCTGTACAGACTCAGGGACTGCCCTCACACAAGTGGTTGTAATCACTCTTTACGATCATCTGTACCATATTAACACAGATTTTTATTTCCACGTTCGTGATCATTTTCTTATCTTTTTCCTTCAGATTCTCCCAAGAAATCTCGTGGCTGTCTCAAGAAGGCATATGACCTGTTCTGCGGCTTGCAGAAGATGGGACACAAGCTGACCCCAGAGGAGAAGAAAGCCCTGGGGCAGAAGCTGACAGACACATCGGAGAAGCCCTTGTGGAGGATGGTAGTGAACATTAACGCCATCATCCTCCTGGCCGTGACCGTCTTTATGCATGCCTATTTTGCCTGACCTCTAGCTCAGCCACGAGACTGTTTAAGCCGAGGATAATCGTATTGATTTTTCCTTTTATAGTTTGTTGTATTGCATAAGGGAGAGAAGCAGCCTAATGAAATGGCCAAGCCTAAATCTTTTCACTGTTGTTGTTATTTGGTATCAATAAAAAGAGTGGGTAGTTTCTAAAACTAGTGAAGTGACCCTACGTGTGTGTGAACTAGGCACATAGGTACAAGTTTTTTCAATTTTATTGAGGCTTAAATAACAAATAAACGTATATATACATAATATATATTTAAGGTGTAAATGTGATAATTTGATATGTGTATGTCTTTACAACTATTAACACATCTCCATCACCTGGCATTGTTCCCTGTTCTCTGCCTGTGATGAGAACACTTGAGATCTACTCTCCTAGCAAATGTCACGTACTCAACTGCATTCACTACGCTCATCGTGCTGCATGTGATGGACCTCAAAACGTTCTTCCTATAACGGAAAGTTTGTATTCCATTCCTCTCACCCCTAAGCTTCTGGCAGCCCCCATTGTTTTGTTTCATTCTGCGCTGGGCTAGCAGAATACTCAAGATTGGGTAATGTTTAAATAACACGGATCGATTTTGTACAGATCTCCAGGTTGGAAAATTCATGATCTAGGAGGCAGCGCATAGTGAGGGCCTTCTTCTTTCATCATCCCATGGCAGAAGGTGGAAGGGCAAGAGACACAGAGACACCAAACTTATCTTTCCATCAGAGATCCACTTCCTTGATAACTGACCCACTCCTGAATGACAGCATCAATTCATTCATGAGAACAGGGCATCAATCCATTTATGAGGACAGAGCATCAATCCATTCATGACCCAATCACCTCTTCAAGGCTCCACCTCTTAACATTGTTGTTCTAGGGGTTAAGTTTCTAACACATGAACTTTGGGGATACATTTAGTCACATCATTCTATCCCTAGTCCACTAAATCCATGTCCCTCTCGAAGACAAAGGACATTCATCCCATCTCCATGGCCCCAAGTGTTTTCATTTGTTCCAGAATCAACTCAAAACTTCTAAGTACAGGATCTCACCTAAGAGAGACTCAAGACATGATTCACCCTGGGCAAAATCTCTCCAGCTGGAAGTCTTGAAATCAAACAAGCTATCTACTCCCAAAGTGTGATGGTGGTACAGGTCAGGCATTCAAGTGAGAAAAATAGACAAGAAGTGTGACTTGTCTCACCAATAAATCCAAAACCCAAAAGGAAAAACCATATTAAATATTAAGATGTCACAGCAATATCCTCTAATGCCATGTCCTACACCTTGGGCACTGTCAGTGGGACTTAGGCTCCCACGACCTCGATCATCCCTGTCCCTACGGCTATGCTGGGCTTGGCCCCAGTAGCAGATCTCATGTATTGGAACCTCCCCCAGGCTGGAGCTGTGTCTTCAGACACATTGCTGGTGTCTGAAGAGGCACCCCCACTTCCATGGCTCCAGTAACCATTGCACTCTCTGTGGTAGCTCCTCCCCACAACAGGTCTATGCCTAGGTCCCCAGGCTGTCCGCAACATCCCTGGAAGGCTAAGTGGAGATCTTTATGACCTCACAACTCTTGCATTCTGCATGTCTGCAAAGTTAGCATCATGTGGGCCAAGGTTTAAAGCTTGTACCATTCTGAGCAGTGGGTTGAGACATGTCTTAGCCCACTTGAGCTTAGCCCACTGGGGCATCTGAAGAGCATTACATTGGATTCAAGGGCAAGACTCCAGAGGTACAGAGCCACAAATGCCAACATCCAGCAGGCACCTCTCTGGATGCCTTACCTTCAGGGTCCTTCCTTAACTCAAAAGTCTAGGAGAGGCTCTTGGGTTCATTCTCCCAAGGTCTTGGTGAACAAAACCTGGCTTCTCTCTATCCATATGGATCTGTTTAGCAAATGATTGCTTGGCCAGGCCCTTACTATTCTGTTCTTGGCTGGGCTAGGCTGCGAGTTTTCCAAATCTTTCCATTCTGTCTCCATTTGAATTATGAATGCTTTCCTTAAATCACTTCGTTCTTCTCTCATTTTACTGTAAATGTGCTGCTCACGTGGGAGACCTGGATGGAGTTCCAGGCTCATGGCTTCAGTCTGGCCCAGCCCTGGCCATGGCAGCCATTTGGGGATTAAACCAGTGTATGAAATATTCTCTCCCTCTCTTTTTCCTCCAACCCACACACACTGTCAGATGAAGCTATGCAGCACTGCTGCCTAGAAATGTCTTCTACTGGATGTCCTGGTTCATTGCTTTTAAGTTCTAACAGGAACATAATTCTGCAAGTCCTTTGTTACCATATGGCCTCATCCCATTTCCAGTATCTTCTTCCTCATCTCCATTGGACACTTCACTGGCATTTACTATCCATACGTCTGTAAGCATTCTTTTTTTAAAAAAGATTTATTTACTTGAAAGTCAGAGTCACACAGAGAGAGAAGGAGAAGCAGAGAGAGAAAGAGAGAGAGAGAGAGAGAGAGAGAGAGAGAATTCTTCCATCCACTGGTTCACTCCCCAATCGGCTGCAACAGCCGGAGCTGTGCCTATCCGAAGCCAGGATCCAGGAGCTTCTTCTGGGTCTCCCACATGAGTGCAAGGGCCCAAGGACTTGGGCCATCTTCCACTGCTTTCCCAGGCCATAGCAGAGAGCTGGATTGGAAGTGGAGCAGCCAGGAGTTGAACCAGCACCCATGTGGGATGCCTGCACTGCAGACGGTGGCTTTACCTGCAACAACACAGTGCCAGCCCCTGCAAGCCTTCTTAGCAAAACCACTTGAACAATCTCTAAAAGGATCTAAGATCTCCCAAGAGCTTTTATCTTCTTCTAGGAGCTTTTTAACTATCATAAATGAGATTACTGAGTCCTGGCCAAGATGGCGGAATAGTGAGGGCGCGCACCGATAATCCGGGAAAATTTAGTTTAATAAAAGTGAAGTTATGGTAGCCTCAGAAAAAGGATCAGGAAAAAATTGCAGAGGAAACTCTTCTGGATCTAGTGGCTGTGACTCGGAGGACCTACTGGGAGAACAAGGTCGCCCACCACGAGGAAGCCGAGCCGCGGGAGCCGCAGGGTCTGTGCACCAGTGCAGGAAAGGGAGTGGATGTCACACAGACACCAATGGGGAGAGTTGGGACGCCCAGGACTCTGAGTCCACACATCGGCGCTGGAAGGGGAGGTGAGCTCAGTAACCCGAGACATTGGTGGGGAAACGGCGGTCAGAATCTAGAGGGGAGCGGGAAAGTGCACCAGACTGACTCCAGGAGAGAAGGAAAAAAGGTGGGGGATTTCTCTCTCCACCAACCTTGCAAAGGTTGCAAGGCTGCAAGGCTTGCAAGAGTTTGCAAGAGTTTGCAAGAGACAAAGAGCAGGCCCCCTCTCTGGATTTACATAACAACAGGGGAGAGCTAAGGAACTGAGTCACTACAATTCAGTAGCCTAGGCAACCCAGTGGGAGTCCAGAGGAGAAACAGAGCCTGCACAGACTCTCTGGGTAGAAGCCAGAGATCAGAAGCTAAATACCATCAATTCTGCACAGCTGTGCAGTGCGGTATTACTTACCTCCTGAATAAATAAAAAGAGAGATATTTACCACGCATAACCTGAGGGTGTCACCTTTGCACACCCGTAACCTGGAAGAACCAAGCAGAGCTCTCAGGCCACACCCATCTCAAGCCTCCAAGGCTCCTCCAACAGCAGGCAGTCCACTTAACACAGACATAGTATAAAATAAAATAAAAAAAAATTAAAAAAAAAAACGCAAAGTGACGAACGAAGAATTAACTATGCCAAGCAACAAACACAGAAATCGAGAGAACAAGATCAACGATGACACTATGATGCCTCCAAATAAACAAAACACCCCAAGCCAAGATTATGAAGATGATGAGATAGAACAAATGCAAGATATAGATTTCAAAAAATTTATGATAAGAACATTTAGAAGTTTTCAAAAGCAAATCCTTGAACTACAGAAATCCTTATTGGACAGGATTGAAAATCTCCCTCGTGAAAATGAAATTTTAAGGAAGAATCAAAATGAAATGAAGAAACTAGTAGAACAGGAAAATGTGATAGTGAAGAGAAATCAAAATGAAATGAAGAGCTCAATAGATCAAATGACAAATACATTAGAGAGCCTTAAAAACAGAATGGGTGAAGCAGAAGAGAGAATATCGGACTTAGAAGACAGAGCACAGGAAAACATACAGTCAAACCAAAGAAAGGAAGAGGAAATTAGAAATCTAAACATATTGTTGGGAATCTACAGGATACTATTTAAAAAACCAACATTCGAGTTCTAGGAGTTCCTGAAGGCATGGAGAGAGAGAAAGGCTTAGAAGGCCTTTTTAATGAGATACTAGCAGAGAACTTTCCAGGTTTGGAGAAGGACAGAGACATCCTACTACAGGAAGCTCATAGAACCCCCAGTAAACATGACCAAAAGAGATCCTCACCACGACACGTGGTAATTAAACTTACCACAGTGAAACATAAAGAAAAGATCCTAAAATGTGCAAGAGAGAAACGTCAGATTACTCTCAGAAGATCTCCAATTAGACTCACAGCAGACTTCTCATGAGAAGCACTACAGGCTAGGAGGGAATGGCGAGACATAGCACAGGTGCTAAGAGAGAAAAATTGCCAGCCCAGAATATTATATCCTGCTAAGCTCTCATTTGTGAATGAAGGTGAAATAAAGACCTTTCATAGCAAACAGAAATTGAAAGACTTTGTGGCCACTCATCCAGCCCTGCAAAAGATACTTAAAGATGTGCTACATTCAGAAACACAGAAACACGGCCATCAATATGAAAGAAGGGAAAGGAAGAACACCTACCAGTAAAAGAGCATGGGAAGCTCAAAGCATATACTAGAAAACATCTCCGGGAAAATGGCAGGGCAAAGTCACTATGTATCAATAGTCACATTAAACGTTAATGGTCTTAACTCTTCAGTTAAAAGACACCGATTGGCTGATTGGCTC